CGTTTCTCAGTGATATAAAATCCCTGCTAGACTAATATCCTTGGCCAAAAAGCCATTTAAGTATTGAGGTTTTGGATTAATTTAAGACAATAACAACCATTAAAAGTGATTTTTTTTGCTGAAACTTTCAAATACAATAGGACATAACTTTGTGAAGAAAAGTAGTTGAAGTATAATTTGGCAAATTGCACATTTTTAAAAGATATAAATGAGAATCCGTTTGGTGTAATGGTCAAAGCACCAGAGTAGAATCCAGGAGGTGGTGAGTTCTAGACCCACCCTAGATGCAAAACCATCTGAATGACCTTGGGCCAGTCACTCTCTCTCAGCCTTAGGAAGGCAGCAATGGGAAACTACTTCTGAAAAACTTTGCCAAGAAAACTGCAAGGCATCGTCTAGGCAGTCACTAGGAATCAATACTGACGCTTATGCACATGTGCACACTGCACGCACGCATGCACACACATACACACACACACACAAAAAAAAATCTAATGTCTAAGAAATCAATCCATTCCCCTCATCTGAACTTTCACAAATGTTGGTCTGTCCATGCTAATTGACAACAGCTCCCTGAGTCTCCCATGTAATCATAGCAGTTGGCTGGGGAATTCTGTTTTATTTATTTATTTGATTTTTATACTGCCCTTCTCCAGCAGGACTCAGGGCGGTTAACAGCCAAGGTAAAAACATAGCATACAAAATTTAAAACAATTTAAAAAGATATTAAATAGTTTCAGCCCACAATTTAAAAACACCCCAATAAAATCAATTATGAATTAAAACCGAAAGATGGGATCAAGCCAGCCCGGCTAGATGAAACAAGTGAGTTTTAAGGGCCCAACGAAAAGTCCGGAGATCCGGGATTGTATGTATCTCTGGGGATAGGTCATTCCAAAGGGCGGGTGCCGCCACAGAGAAGGCTCTCCCCCTGGGGGTCACCAGCCAACATTGTCTGGCCGACGGCACCCTGAGGAGGCCCTCTCTGTGCGAGCGAACCGGTCGGTGGGAGGCTATTGGCAGCAGAAGGTGGTCTCATAGATACTCAGGCCCTAAGCCATGGAGCGCTTTAAAGGTAGTCACCAACACCTTGAAGCGCACCTGGAAGACCACCGGGAGCCAGTGCAGCTCGCGCAGGAGGGGTGTCACATGGGAGCGCTCCATCGCTCCCATAATCCCCCGTGCGGCCGCATTCTGGACCAGTTGGAGCCTCCGGGTGCACCCCAGGGGGAGCCCCATGTAGAGAGCATTGCAGTAGTCCAGGCGGGAAGTGACAAGTGCTTGAGTGACCATGCGTAAGGAGTCCCGATCCAGAAAGGGACGCAACTGGCATATCAGGCGAACCTGATAAAAAGCCCCCCTGGCCACGGCCGTCATATGCTCTTCTAAAGACAGCAGTGCATCCAGGAGGACCCCCAAGTTACGAGCCCTCTCTGTGGGGGCCAATGACTCGCCCCTCAATAACCAGCGATGGCACCAGCTGGCTATATCGGGACGCTGGAAGCCACAGCCACTCAGTCTTGGAAGGGTTGAGTCAGAGCCTGTTTCTCCCCATCCAGGCCCGCACGGCCTCCAGGCACCAGGACATCACTTCAAGGGCATTATTGGGGTGGTCTGGGGTGGACATGTCCATCAGCGTACTGATGGAACTCCACCCCAATGCCACGGATGATCTCACCCAGCGGCTTCACATAAATGTTGAACAGGAGGGGCAAGAGGACCGACCCCTGCGGCACCCCACAAACAAGGCTCCTCGGGGTCGACCGCTGCCCCCCTGCCAACACAGATTGCGACCGGTCAGAGAGATAGGAGGAGAACCACAGTAAAATGGTGCCCCCCAACCCCAACCCCTCTAACTGGCGCAACATGATACCATAATCAATGGTATCAAATGGACATTTGATTAATGGACATCCACACATTGCAGCATTTCCAGGGCTGAGAAAGATTGCTCTAGGGAAAGAGTGTCAAACTCATGGCCTTGCGGGCTGGATGCATCATGCGCTGGCCATGCCCACCCCCATTTTAGCAAAGGGGAAAAAGTCATGATACATCACGTGACAACAATGTGATGATGCAAGGTTGACACCCCTGCTCTAGCAACTATCTGAAAAGAATTAAGAATGTTAAAAAAGAAAAACAATGAGATACTTAATTGGTGCAGATCAAAACATTTCATTGAAAACACTTTATTAATATCTATAATTTCCCAGGAAACAAAATGTATTAGTTTAAAAAAGAGAAACAAATGCTTAGTCAGAAACTTCCCATACAATTTTTTTTTAAATTATATTTTATAGTACTTCAATTTCTATGTTATATTTCATGCTCTAAACACTTATTTATATTGTTTTCAGTTTTTAAAACTAATGTTGAAATGATTACGTTGAAGTAGGTATTAGGGAAATTCTGCATATATTCTGCATATATCTGTAAAATGTATTTAAAAGCCTGCATTGGGAAATATTTACAATTAAAAATATTTATGAAGCCTATATACCCATTGGAAAGAATTGCAGGAATCAAATAGAAGCTGATTCTGTTTAATGCTTTTAAAAATAACTGCAAGGCTTATTCAAACCAGATTTCTCACACAATGCTATCAAGAGCTTGTTAGAATAGAATAGAATAACAGAGTTGGAAGGGACCTTGGAGGTCTTCTAGTCCAATCCCCTGCCCAGGCAGGAAACTCTACACCACTTCAGACAAATGGTTATCCAACATCTTCTTAAAAATTTCCAGAGTTGGGGCATTCACAACTTCTGTAGGCAAGTTGTTCCACTTATTAATTGTTCTAACTGTCAGGAAATTTCTCCTTAGTTCTAAATTGCTTCTCTCCTTGATTAGTTTCCACCCATTGCTTCTTGTTCTATCTTCAGGTGCTTTGAAGAATAGTTTGACTCCCTCTTCTTTGTGGCAACCCCTGGGATATTGAAACACTACTATCATGTCTCCTCTAGTCCTTCTCATCATCAAACTAGACATAACCAGTTCCTGGAACCGTTCTTCATATGTTTTAGCCTCCAATTCCCTAATCATCTTTGTTGCTCTTCTCTGCACTCATTCTAGAGTTTTAACATCTTTTTTACATCGTGGCGACCAAAACTGAATGTAATATTCCAAGTGTGGCCTTACCAAGGCATTATGAAATGGTATTAATACTTCACATGATCTTGTTTATGCAGCCCAGAACTGTGTTGGCTTTTTTTGGCAGCTGCTGCACACTGCTGGCTCATATTTAAATGGTTGTCCACTAGGATTCCAAGATCCCTCTCACAGTTACTACTATTGAACAAGGTACCACATATACGGTACCTGTGCATTTTGTTTTTCTTCCCTAAATATAGAACCTTGCTTTTTTTCACTGTGGAATTTCATTTTGTTAGATAGTGTCCAATGTTCAAATCTGTCAAGATCCTTCTGTATCTTGAGCCTATATTCAGGAGTGTTGCTTATTCCTTGGATGACACCAGCTTGGTGTCATCTGCAAATTTGATGAGTTCCCCATCTATCACCTCGTCCAAGTCATTGATGAAGATGTTGAAGAGCACTTGACCTAAAACAAAGCCTTGGGGTACTCCACAGCATACTTCCCTCCATGTAGATGCAGTTCCATTGAGGACTACAAATTGAGTGCGGTTGGTCAGCCAGTTACGAATCCATCTGGGGGTGATGCTATCTAACCCACATTTTTCTACTTTATCTAGTAGTGGGTTATGGTCTACTTTATAAAAGGCTTTACTAAAGTCCAAATAAATTATATTGACAGCATTCCTCTGGTCCACTAATTTTGTTACTTTGTCAAAGAATGCAATAAGATTAGTCTGGCATGATCTGTTTTTGACAAATCCATGTTGGCTTTTCGTTATTACTTGGTTTGCTTCTAGGTGTTCGGTGACTCGTTGTTTGATTATCTTTTCCAGAATCTTCCCTAGTATTGAGGTCATGCTGATAGGTCTGTATTTCCTGGATCTATTTTGTTTTCCTTTTTAAAAGATGGGAACTACATCAGCTCTTTTTCAATCCTCTGGCAGTTCCCCTGTGCTCCAGGATCTTTGAAAGATATAGTTCAGTGGTTTTGAGATTTCATCTGCCAGTTTCTTCAGAACCTTGGGGTGTAATCCTTCTGGTCCTGGTGATTTGAACTCATCTAGGGTAGACAGGTGTTCACTTACCATTTTCTTCCCTATTTTAACTTGTGTTCCTAATCTGTTTTTTGTGGTGCTGTTTTTGATAGGTTGGACTGTTTTTTCCTTTTGTATAAAGACAGATGCAAAAAATGAGTTAAGTAGTTCTGCTTTCTTCCTGTTGCTTGTCACCTTCTTGCCACTTTCTCCCAGCAATGGACCAATTGTTTCCTTGACTTTTTTCTTGTTTTTAGTATGTTGGAAGAAGCTTTTTTTGTTATTTTTTACTTTAATCGCAAGCCTTTGTTAATTGTGAATCTTAGCTTTCCTCACTTCATTTTTACAGGCTCGGGCTATTTGCTGATATTCTGCCTTAGTTATTTGCCCCTCTTTCCACTTTTTATACTTGTCCTTTTTGTCTTTCAATTTGCTAGAGAGTTCTTTATGCAGCCATGCTGGTTTCTTTTGAGATCTATTATTTTTCTTCTTCATTGGTATTGTGCTAGACTGGGCATGTGAGGTCACTACATTGTCATAGAGAGTTAACAATAGCAATCTGGCTTCATCCTGAGACAAGTTGAATATTCCCAAATGTGAATCCCAGAAAAGAGGCACATTTAATCTAGCTCTGCAAATGTAAACTTGTATGTGTATGTTGACGCTGAGCATACAGATTCCTTTAGTGCTTTTCCAACTATATATTGATATTGTGACTCATTTTCTAGATACACACTTTTTTTCTGTGAAGTTTTAAGTGGAGAATGATGGATACTAGTAGATTTTTATCTATGTTGTAATCAAGTTTCTTTTGGCTACACTTTGCCAAATCACTTATTTTGAGATCTATACTATGACTCTTTAATTTCATTGCAGTTCAGCTACTCTAATTACCGGTATTTGCATATTTCTTATTACTCCAAAGTTTGTGGAAGCATCTCAGAAGCTGATTCAGTTGGTGGAGCCATTTCTTCTCTGCATCCAGCAATATACCCAAATAATCAGAATTGTAGTTGGATTATTCGAGCTCAAGAACCATGGTAAATTAATGAATTCATCTCTCCCTGCTGAGAAAGCAAAATGACTAATATCCTCTCCTCTTCTGTAAAAACAATACAAAATTCCTCCATTTCTTATCTGCAGGAAATCCTGCATCCTGTTAGATGGGAAGTATCAATGATGCTTATCTCTTAATCTCTTCTTATGGGGATTTAATGTGAAAAGATTTAACAATCTGGTGCGAAATGAGATAAAGTGTTTAGTGTACAGCCTTGATTTTTCAGTATTAAACACCATGGAAATAGGTCATAAAGAAGATTATTACACAAAGGAAACCATTGTACAAACTAGTCCTGCGGATATTAGAAAAATGGACATGCAAACTGTAAAATTAAATTTACAATTGAGGTAGTTCTCCATTTACAATCTCTCATTTAGCAACTGTTCAAAGTTATGACAGACCACCCAAAAGATATTTAAGACATGGTTTCAAAATTATGAATGCTGTAGTGCCACTGCCATTGTTCATCCTCACAACCAACCAAAGGGACTCCCCCATCCATCCGCCATCCATCCCCCATCCATCCACCTTTTGATCCAAAGCCAGCCATTTGCTTCTGTTGAGTAGCTTTAGGCTTCCTTGTCTGGTTGAATAGCCATTCTCTCTTGGGAGAGAATAAATTTGGGTAATCTCAAGGGGCAGGTGGAATCCTTGGGAGGCCACTGAATAGCTGATGGAAAGTAGGCCTTGGCCTACAGGCTGTAAATGCCCTCTGTGTAGTGGTTACTTCTGCTGACCAGTTTAGGTTCTTTTGCCTGGCTGAATAATCAGCTAGCGATTAGGATGAGGTCCTTATCCCAAGGATCAGGAAACAGAGCATCAAGTGCCTCAAAGGTGGGGAAGGCCTTGGAAGGCACCCTGTGCCCCACTTAACAACCAGCACATTTGTTTAATAATTGCATTAGTGAGAACAGGAAAATGACCATTGAGATGTACAACCATTGTAGTCATAAGTAGAGGACCACCTATATATATCTGGTCTTTTAATTTTAGTTCCCCATACCTGGAGTTAACTCTAGTCATCTCTAGACTAAGAGACTGGTTAGGATCATGAAGTGTGCTAAGTCAGAGGTCCCCAAAATATTTCAAGTATACTGTGAATGCCTATGCAGTACTATAATATAGGTTAACTAACTATATAGTGACAATAAAAACTTTTTTGGAGCTTAGACTTTATGATAAAAGTACTGTTCCTCTTAGTGAACACTAGATAAACAATTTCTTAGCACACACTGTAATTTGTAGTTTGAAAATCTATACACCATAATTACAAAACCTACTAGATTTGCATAAGTTTAATGGAGAAGGATTCACATTTATTATAGAGCACAATATTAAGTTCTTAAATTCAACTATTTGTTGGAATAGTTGACTGGCTGACCCTATTTTTTTAATTGTAATACAACTGGTTTGGGTATCCAAATCATATTTATTTACTTACTTACTTACTTACTTACTTACTTACTTACTTACTTTTGTATATACCTGCTTAGTAGGCCTTTCGCCCCCACCCCCCCAAGCGGTGTTCTTTTTTATACAAAGTCAGCTTATTGCCCCCACAAACCGGGTCCTACCTCCTTACCTACCTCGAAAGGATGGAATGCTCAGTCAACCTTGAGCCTGGTGAGATTTGAACTTGCAGGCAGCTGGTGTTACTTAACAGTGCTTTAGTCTGCTGCACCACCAAGGCTCTGTCAATTAGGTATGGCATTGGAACATTAATATAATATGACAAGAAGGCTTGCCTATCCCTTGTTTCCCTTTTACCTAGTGACTATTATTCTCAGTATTGTAATAGTTGTTGTTGCTGAAAGCAAATTATAATTTCAGTTTGCAGAAAACTAGAGGAAATTTCTGGTTTTCAAACCTGGTTGGTGATTTTGAATGAAACATCAGTTTGTAATATGCATCTTAGTAGGGAATTTATAACTCAGTGCAAAAGAAACGAGAAGAACATTTATTGTAAAGATTGGGGGGGAAAGGAGATTATTACAATTCTTGGAGGTAGCATGTTTTTTACTGTAATGCTAGGCATCTTGTTCTAAAAGAGAAAAGATGCAACATACTTCTATCAGCTTTCTGATATGTCTCATGGGTTGAGTTAAATAATTCTGTTCAGATTCTTATTGTATGTTTGGCTTTGGGAAATAATAACGAGAAATATGCATTTCTTGTCCTACTCTAGGAAGCTCAGAATTTACAAAAACGTTGTAAAATTGCCAAGAATACAGAAGGGGGCCAGGCAAATATGCAGTCCTATGAAGGATAGACATTCCTTTATTAAAGTAAATAGCCACGGGCTCAAATATAAAATATATTTTATTGAGGAAAAGGAAACAAAAACTTAGATCACCCATATAGAAAAGGAGGAAAACTAAATCACACATAGAAATTTCCAAATAAAAATCAAGAAATTTCATTTTGGCTCCCAGTGGAGATATGGTGAAGATTTTAATCCAAGAAAATTATAAAGAGATTAAGGATCCAGATAAATTTGGAAAATTGAATTTTATTATAAGTTTTTGGAATTAACTATAAAAGATAAACAGCTTTTTGTGAGAACAGTTTTATTTTGGCTATCAGGTTATTTCAGGTCATAACAAAAAATGAGTGATGACTTAGAAACTGGACAATAGAGGGAAATAAATATTTTAAGCAGAAAAAAAGTACAAGCCTATTCTTGATGCCCGTTAATACTGAAACTTACAAAATGACATAAAATATTATAAAATCGGAAATGTTAAAAGAAAAGAAGAACGGAGCCAGAAATTAGTAACTATGATATCAACACTGTCAGTAATTCTGTTTCCTTCTATAAACTTAGCTAGACTATATCTAAGAGATGCTAATAAAAGAATGAGAGATGTGGAAGAAATTTTATCTGACAAAACAGAGAAAGTATTGAAAATGGAAGTACAAATATAGGCCCAGAAAATGATTTGGAGAAGAATGATTTATGGATATGCAACAGAAATTAATTTTTTAATTTTTTAAAATGATCCGTAAAATATTTTCATATTGTAACTACAAAAAAGGCTTAATAAAGCTTTGATGAAATCTGTGGGATAGGATAAAGAGGAATGGAAGAGAAATCAAATCCTAGAACAATATTTTATTGAATTAAAAATTAAGACTGTTAGAAATAAAATGAAGGAAAAGTTACTTTATTTGATCAAAGTTAAAATAAGATCATTTTTTGCAGTGTTCTAGCAACCTTTTATGGGCTTTTTGCTGATACAATAGAAAACTTGAGGTTTTATGGATTTGCTTATAGATAAAAGATGAGATATGGGATGGATGGCAATAGTATTTAGAACTTATATACCACTCCATAGTGCTTTGCAGCCCTCTCTAAGCAGTTTACAGTGTCAGCATATTGCCCCCAACAATCTGATACCGACCTTGGAAGGATGGAAGGTTGAGTCAACCTTAAGCCAGTCAGGACTGAACTCCTGGCAGTGGGCAGAATCAGCCTGCAATACTGCATTCTAACCACTGCACCACCACAGCTGAGCCAGCCATGCTGTAGATATTAATCATAGTTCATTTTGAATACATAGTGGAAAAATTATGGACATATTTCAAGATGTTCTGCACTGTACTTCTGTTTGATGCAGTAGTACCAAATTGGTAAAAGGTGAGATCTGGACAGGTTAGATTTGTGAGTGATGTGGGCAATCTATAAATCTGATATATAAAAATAAATAACAAACTCTAAAGCCTACTACTTCTAAGATGGAAGGAAAGAAACCACTTATTTCCTACAACTAGAATTTTCTGTTATAAGCCATAGTGTTCAAACAACATTTGCTTTTGCTAAAGTGAATTCCATGCTTTACTAGACTCACAGCATCTATCCTACTGGAGTTATTTTCTCCATTTCCATATTGTACTTTGTCTCATCTCCTGCTTCCCTTGTACAGCTTGTGGGGGTACCTTCCATATGGAGAGAGGAGCCTTCAGTAGCCCACGTTTTCCTGACCCATACCCATTGAACATTGAATGTGTCTGGAATCTTCTGAGCTCCCCTGGCAACCGGCTCCAGCTGTCTTTCATGTAAATCAATTGTTCAAAGAGTTATTGTTTAATCTTTTAATGGAGCAGCAGGAAGGAAATGCTGGGTTTAGAAGAATGTAATTACTGGCATGTAAAACAGTACCCACAACTTGGAAAGTGAATACAATCACAGCCAGAAAGGGATTGCTTTATTTTTTTCCCCCCATTGCTTATTATCCTGGTCAGCTTTCATGCAACTAAAATCTATGCTTATAGATACCATCCCAATTTTGCATCTATAACTTTTACAAAATTATAACTGCATCAGTTGAAAGTATGAGTACTGGTCTCTTTCCCCCTGCTGCTATGGTAAATTTGAATAATCATTAAATGTTTGCTTAGTACCACTTACGTTATATTAAACTGTGATATATATTTTGGGATTTTTGTTTCATTGCCCACAAATCAGTCTTGATTCCTGGTTATTTCAAGGACAAAGGTCTATTTCAAGATCTATTTTCCACCCTACCTTTTTAGAAGTGGTCTGCCTTTGTCACCTATTCAATTTCTGTGACTAAGGAAGTCTCTCCACTCCTAGTCTAGGGCCATAACAATTAAACAAACTGGCGCTTGTCTAATTGGCTATGCTAAGCGAGTTCATTAAGTAGCAATCCCTCCTCACACCAGGATCTATTTAATAATTTTCAAGAAAGAATACAGATAATCCTCGATTTACGATCATAACTGAGCCCAAAATTTCTGTTGTTAAGTGAGACATTTATTAAGTGAGTTTTGCCCATTTTACAACATTTCTTGCCACAGTTGTTACATTTATTTACTTATTTATTTGCACGTATTTATATGCTGCCCTTCTCCCAAAGGACTCAGGGCAGCGAACACAAGCAAAAACATACAATAAAAATTCGAATTAAAACCAGTTAAAATCAAATAATAATAAATAATAAAATCCAAGAATCTGAATCAGCCCATTTGTTGAAATAGCCAAGTCTTCAGGCCTCGACGGAAGGAACGGAGATCAGGCGCCATCCAGGGCTCGGTGGGTAACTCGTTCAGAGGGTAGGGGCACCCACAGAGAATGCCTTACCCTGGACGTCACCAGACGACATTGTCTGGTCAACGGTACCCTGAGGAGAGCTGCCCTGTGAGAGTGGACAGGACGGTGGGAGGCAGGCAGAAGATGGTCCTGCAGGTACCCTGGACCTAAGCCATGTAGGGCTTTATAGGTAAGTACTAGCACCTTGAAGCGGATCCGGAGGACCACCGGTAACCAGTGCAGCTCGCGCAGGAGAGGGGTTACATGGGAGTAATGAGGAGCTCCCGTAACAACCTGCGCGGCCGCATTCTGGACCAGCTGGAGCCTCCAGGTGCACCTCAAGGGCAGCCCCATGTAGAGGGAATTGCAGTAATCCAAGCGGGAAGTAACCAGGGCATGAGTGACCGTGCGAAGGGCATCTTGGTCCAGGAAAGGGCGCAACTGACGCACCAGGCGAACCTGTGTGAAAGCCCCCCTGGTCACAGCCGTCAAATGGTCTTCTAAAGACAGCCGGTAATCCAGGACACCCAAGTTGCGAGCCCTTTCAACGGGGGCAAGTACCTCCCCCCCATCAAAAGTTATGGGACCTCTAGAACATGAGGTGCCAGCATACACAGCCACTCAGTCTTGGAGGGGTTGAGTCTGAGTCTGTTCCTATCCATCCAGGCCCGCACCACCTCCAGGCATCGGGACATAACGGAAAGGGCATCCCCGGGGTGGCCTGGGGTGGAGATGTATAACTGAGTATCATCAGCGTACTGATGATACCTCACCCCAAAACCATGAATGATCTCACCCAGCAGCTTCATGTAGATGTTAAAGAGTAGAGGGGAGAGAACTGATCCCTGAGGTACCCCACAAGTCAGGGTCCTTGGGATCGACCTCTGCCCCCCTACCCATAAAAATTGCAAATGACCTGAGAGATAGGAGGAGAACCACTGTAAAACAGTGCCTCCCACCCCTAACCCCCCAAGTCGCTGCAGTAAGATACCATGGTCGATGGTATCAAAAGCCGCTGAGAGGTCAAGTAGGACCAGGATGGAGGAACAACCCCCATCCCTGGCCCGCCAGAGATCATTCACCAGAGCGACCAATGCCATTTCCGTGCTGTGCCGCGCCGGAAGCCCGATGAATGGCTTACATGAATCACTGCAGTTGATAAGTTAGTAACATGGTTGTTAAGTGACTCTGGCTTCCCCATTGATTTTGCAAAGGGTTGCAAAGGGTTCCCCATTGATTTTACAAAGGGTTGTAAAAGGTAATCACATGACCTTGGGACATAGCAATAGTCATAAGTCTGAACCAGTTGTCAAGCACCTGAATTTTAATCACATGATCATAGTAATGCCACAAAAGTCATAAATGTGAAAAATGGTCATGAGTCACTATTTTCAATGCCATTGTAACTTTGAACGGTCATTAAATGAACAGTTGTAAGTCATGGACTACCCGTATTCTGAACATGCACAGAGAAATCTTTAGAAAGAGGCTTCTGTCTGAGATGGCATGAGATAAAGTTGAAGCCCAGTCTCTCTCATTTGCAATTAAATCAGAACACATGTGGCAGGGGTTTTGAGTCATGCATTTTAAGGGGAAATGAATGTACACTTTTCCACTTGGAAAAACTATAAAACAAAAATCTCCAAAGCAACAACTAACACATCAAAGGTTTTAAAATATGGCAAAGAAAATTTCTGGTCACAGGCAGTTCAAAAACAGAAATCCCAACTGAAGAGGCTCTTTTCCTAAAAGTGAAAGAAGTGCTCTATCTATAATGGAAATAAAAACTGAATTTGAAGTGGGAAGTACTGAAGCTTCGCATTCAGCAAATCAACTTTAATGATATAGTTTGATTCCCAAAATGTAAAGTAATACGTGTGGAGTTCCTCCCTCTGCCAAATATTATATCTGGTTATATATTAACCATCTTTCAAGGAATGCTTTTAGTATGGCACCCAAATGAGTTTAACGTTCTAATTTCTCAGTTTAAAAAGGCCAGATACTATCCTCAGAATTGTAATCAGCAGAAACATATGCAATCCGAGCTTTGGGGAAGATCAAGCATAATGAAATGACCTACCTGGCTACTCATGGTTCTCTTAAGATTGCAAATGCTGTTGTAATTCTCACACACTCAGCTCCATTTCCATAGGCAATTTAATATTTTCCTTCAGCTCATAAATGTTAGCTATTGTGTTTTTTTTCCAAAAGAAAGAAATGGAAGGCATGAGAAATCATCAGCAGGTAATCTGAAGGTTTAGTACAAAGCCATGACATAAAATAAAATATCCCTTTGGGAAAATAGATAATTGTCTGGCTTAATTCTTACGTCTAGTTGGAACGTCTGAGTCATTACATCTGTAATAACAAATTTAATTTTAAACAAAAGAGATTAAAGCATATGTAGCAATGCAGTTGGCTAACTTTATTTTAGTATTTTCCATTTCTGTATATTGGAGAACCATAACTTAAAAGAATTGATGAAATAAGATAGATAACACTGTTAAAATATGATCATGTTTTTTTTGCATTCTAAGTGATTTAAGAGGAGTAAAATTAATAGGGATGGACAAATATTTGATCTGAAAGTTTGATTGGCTATAAAATCAAATAAATAAGGGTTTGCAATATTTTTAGGTGGTGAGTTCATATAAGTAATCTTAAATCGTAGAATAAGCACCAAATGCTTATTTGATTTTCTTTAACAAAGTAGTATTTTTAATTCATTAATTACTATTTTTTGCATGCTAACAGGCATCATTTAGCAGGATTCCAACGCTGTGCTACCACAGACCACATATGTTTGATCTCTGGAATAAATCAATCATATTGGCAAGAATGTTTTTTTTTTTATCCTGGATAAATGGAAAGAATTATCCTTTCTATTTAAAATATGAAGCTTTCAACAGAATAATACAGGGGAACAAACAAGGGTACAGTGATGCTATCAGAATAAGTGGGGCCAAGATCTTTGGTCCATTTTTCATTTGGATAGAGCAAGAATGGATCTTTGTAATGCCCTTGAGGAATGCATCTATTTGAGGAAAATGGATGAGGAATAACTGCTTTTCCCACCTTTCCTGTATGCACAGAAAGCTGGAGACAAGTGCTCCCAGTTTCCTTCTCCATGGAAAAGATTCCCCTGCAGGAAGACATGGGAAGTACTAACCTCATTTTCAGGCAGGTGGGAGAAAAGTTCTTCTTTTTTCTATGTATCTTAAGGTACTTTTCCTTTATGTGAAAGTTGCATGACTTTCTAGTGTTTTCCTCGTAGGTTCCTTTTGCAATCATGTTCGTCAGGGAGAGTTTTTCCATTAATATATTGCTGCCATGGAGCAACCAACTATCAGTCCTTGGGCACGGGATGTAGAAATGACCCCTCACACTAAAAATCAAATGCAGAAGGAAGTTTCATTTCTATCAGTCCATGGATTCCAAATGTATAACATGTTCTACAAGGCAGTTCCAAACACTGTCATCATAAGTGAATGGTTGGTATGATTTGTAATAAGTAGCATCGTTTGGCTGCCCAAAACAATAACTGATGAAAGAAGTTAGATTTTCATAATACTTCTCAAAATCAAAGATAGTTCCTGTGACAAATAACTAGTATAGAAGGCCACTTTCGTGTAATAGTTAAGGTATTATTTTAGAAACCCAAGAGACTGAGATAGAGTCGGCCCTTAGGCGTGAAAACCAGCTGGGAGACTTTGAGGCAGTCACAGTCTCTCTATCCAATTCACCTCACAGTTTTGTTGTTGTGAAGAAAATAGGAGAAGAAAAGAGAATTATGTATTTTTTCTGCCTTTAGCTTCTTATAAAGTAACTACCGTAAATAGATAAATAATAAAAAGTTTAAGATCATGTCAATTTGTTCTATCCCATTTCTTTTCATAGGGGATAATAGTCTTGCACCAGTTCTATCCATTGTGTGTGACCGAAAACCTCCTGGCCCAATAAGGTCAACTGGGAATGCAGTTCACTTCAGATTCACGTATTACTGGTCCTGGATTTAATGCTTCTTTACACAAAAGTAAGTGTCTTTTAAAATAACACTTGTCCATCCTTCATGTCAGGGGTGAAATGCTCCCGGTTCGGACCAGATCACCCAATCTGGTAGCGATGGAGGCGGGTGGTTCGGAGAACCAGTAGCAAAAATCCATGCCCCCCCCATGCCCAATAATCAGAGGCTTTTTTTTACTTTTAAAAGCATTTTTTCTACCACCTCTTTGGCCAAAAAATGCTTTTAAAAGTAAAAAAGTTAAAAAAAAAGCTTCTGATGATCGTGCGGCTCAGCTGGGATCGTCAAAGGCTTTTAAAAGGAAAAAACCCTTTTTTCTTTTAAATGCCTCTGACGATCTAAGCTGAGTTGCCTGATTGGCAGAGGCTTTTTAAAAAACCTCTGCCGATCAGACAACTCAGCTGGGATCGTCAGAGGCATTTAAAAGAAAAAAAGGTTTTTTTTCTTTTAAATGCCTCTGCCGATCAGGCAATTCAGCTGGGATTGTCAGAGCCTTTTGAAAGCATTTTTTTGCAACCTCTTCACTGAAGAGGTTGTAGAAAAAATGGTTTTAAAAGAAAAAAAAATTGGTCATGCTCACCCAGTCACATTAGCCCCCCACCAAGCCACCACAGAACCAGTAGACTTGAAGAACAATATGTAACTTTTTATTGTGGATTTTCAATTCTAGCTTTTTCCTTCCATCTTACTGAATCAATGAATACCTGATTGTTTTCGTGACCTTGAAGTCACTGATCTGTTATAATAGTTCTCTTTAGCCTTGAATCAGCTTCTCTTTGCCACTTTATCCTCATTCCTTTCATTGTATAAGGCTCACGGAAAAAAAAATTACCTTCCCAAAAATATTATTTAGCATGAAAATCTGCAAATGAGCAGTGATCTACTTTGAAAATGTGTTCTAAAGTATATTGAATGAAATTTTGTTAAAGTTCTCCAAACTTTAGTAATTTGTGTGAGTTCTCATTTCTAATTTATCAAATGAGAGGTGGTTTGTGTTTGCAGATTTGTTGTGAAGCTAAAATGAAAACGTGCTACTTACAAAGATATATATATATATATATGGTAAAATTTTGTTCATCCTTTATCAATTTATGTGTTAACATATTTGCATCGTTGCAATGAGATACTACGGTAGTATAATTCCACAGACCTTGGAATAACAGACACTTTCCCTCCCCACTTGTCTGTTAAAATGAGGTTTCATTGTATGTTTTTTAAATTATTGCTCTTGGATCATGCTTTAACGAATTCTTCTCCTTGACTCTATTCACCATTTATTTTTCAGTTTAGAAATGGACCAGATTTCTCTAGGACCAGAGAACAGAAATGGGCCTTTTTGTGATAACAATACCTTCCCTATAATGTTCACCACAGCTAACCAGTTATTTATACGTTTCAATTCTGGGAGCACTAATGGAAACCAGGATTTCAAACTGACATATGAGGCAAAGGACCTTGGTGAGTATTAGAACTGAATACAAATAAAGACTGTGGGTTGGTGACACAAATCAGTGAAATTTTAAACCAGACATTCTCATACAATGACTCAGGACCATGACTTGACAAAAGCAATCAGCCTTCTGGATCAGCCTTTCTCAGCCTGGTATCTTCTCGATGTTTTGAGACCACAGCTCCTAGAATTACCAGTCAGCATATAAATTAGTAATTTGGGCAGGTGACATTTCAACATAACTAGAATAATGAGTTATTTCTTTTCTTTTCTTTAATTTCAGTGGATTTGAATGGCATTGGAAAGCCAGCTAATAATCGAGTGATTCAAGGTTGAAGAAAAGTGAGCCAGATTTTGATGCTTCTTCTTTTTAAAAAAAGTTTTTAATTTTTTTTAAAAAAATTATAAAAATGTCAAATCAATGAGTGAACAGTGTGGCAACTGGGTACTATACATTCCAAACAAAACTGATCAGATTGAATATTATTATTACATTCAATCAATTTATATAATTCCCATTACAATATACATCTATATTAGATTACAATCTTTCATTATTCAATTATTCCACCTATTTCTCATTATTACTTTCATTTTATCAAATAAAGATGTCATACATTAATATTCTTTTTATTTCTATCAGTCTAGCTTTTAATCGTATCACCCTATAAAAAAGCTTTTCCCTTCTTTCCTGACTAACTTCTAATCATGTCCCCTGCCTACAAAAAGAGAAAGAAAAAAGAAAAGAGGGAGAGAGAGGGAAAGACAATTCAAAGCAGCAACTGAGAAAAGGAATCATCCTTCCATCATCACTTGTCTGCTTTATATTTAATTGCTTTGCTTTAAAAGAAAGAGGGGGAAAAGGAACAGCAAGTCAAAACAACAATAAGGAAAGAAAAAAAAATAGATTATCTACCCACTGTCTCTTGCCCACTTCGATATTTAATTGCTGTGCTTTGAGAACTGGGTGGAGAAATGAGTAAAATTGTCCAGGAGATGGATCTACTTTTTCAAAATATAAAAGACGTTATGAACAAAGAGTTTAAGGGTATTATGGAAAAAATGGAAAACACTATACAAGGGATGATGACTACAGACCAAGACGCCCAGGAAAGGGAGGATCCAAAGGAAGAAATAAAGAAGTAAGAAGACAAGGAGATGATCATAACGAAAATAATGATTGATGAATTAAACCAGGGGGAAAACATACTAAGAGAGTTGGAAGATATGCTTGAATTAGAGGCAGGGGCCTTGGTAAAAATTTTAGAAAATAGGCAGCGGAAGAGAGTAAAGGTGGGAGGAATACATCCAAGAAATATAGATCAGGGTTGGATTCTACTTACCTTTACTACTGGTTCGCAACAGGGCTGCACGCACATGTGCAGAAGCTTCTGCGCAGGTGCAGAAGCTTCCTGATGGTGTCTGGGCCAGTGGACAGAGCCTCTTGCCAGTTTTACTACCGGTTCTTGTGAACCGGTCTGAACTGGGGACAACCCACCACTGATATAGGTGGAGACTTAAGAGAGGAATGGGGGAGACAAGTAAAAAAAAAAGCAGATTGTGATGCTTCTTCCTGCCATAACTAATTAAATGCTTCTGAGAAGTCAAGGCACAAACTTATTCTCTTAGTTCCCAATTCCCCAGCAATTGTTATTATCTAGCATATTACCGCTGAGCATGTAGTTTCCATTTTTTGTTTAAGGGCTAATAGATATTTATAGATGTATGCTGCATGAGTATTTCTAAAGGACTTTGAACTAGCAGCCAAGCTGAATCCTGTGGTTATACTTTCTTTTAAGCCCCAGTTCGTTATCATATGACCAAGAAACAGTACATTATTGTTGAAATATTGGAATTCAACTTCCATCTAGCAATTTCAAAGATTCATCTTAAAAAACATTATTTAGTGGATCAAGAATTGAATTTATCCATTCAATTTGTATAGCATCTCTGTGATATAGTTAAAACATAGTGAAAAAGAATAAAATAAATTTAAATAGAAATAACAGCCAAGAGAGTTAAAGTCCATCAAAATCAACATAGCCAAGAAATGTGGCCCTTCAAACATTTGGGACCCAGGCCCAGGCACATAGCAGGTCTCCAAGATCTTCCAAATGCATCCTTCTGCCATACTTTTCAAATACTGATACATGTGTATACATGACATTTTTTCTCTTTTGGTATTTTAATAATTTTGGGATTTTATAATTTAATAATAATGTCTGTTAAGTAATATTCAGAACATACTCAACAGTAATATATATATATATAGAGAGAGAGAGAGAATCCCTCACCCATTTGTAAAAAAGGCTCCTTTTGATGAATAGAGTACACAGATCCCGTTTCACATATCAAAATCAGACTTCCCTAAGACATCATATAATGTCCCAGATTTCTTCAGGGAATTATATACAGTATGGCCTAATTTTGGCTTGAGGATTTGATTAGGAGTTCAGAAAAGACTACATTGTTCCTGCTTTCTCTCCATGGTCTTTGCCACAACTTCTTCATCTCAAGGCAGGGAGACTATTCACATTCTGTAGGCTCCTGTTTGATCATTCTCTTTCATTCGGCAGGCCAGGTTATAGGAAATCCATGAAATAGGTAGAAATTGTAGATAGAGTTTGCCATTCTAATTGTGCCTTTCTAATTGTGTTTTATATATACCATAGTACAAAGCAGTCTCAGATAGCATGACCAGATAGCATGAACTGTACTGGGAGCCTATGTTTGGAAAATCCTGAGGTGTCACAGAGAACATTGAATCCTGTTCAATAGATTATTTATGTTGCTTTTTTTTACTTGCTAGCATGTGGAGCAGTGGTGGATTGCCCCTGGTTCGGACCGGTTCTATAGAACCGATAGTAAAATTGGCAGGAGGCCCCGCCTACTGACCCTGACATCATCAGAAGCGATCTGCGCATGCGCAGAATCAAGGCATGTCCGCAAGCAAAGCAAGCATGTGCGTGATCCCGTTGCAAACCGGTAGTAAAGGTAAGTAGAACCCACCCCTGATGTGGAGGAAATGTTTGCATCACTCAAGACAATCTATTTGGATTTATATCTTCACCCAACTATCCTGGATATTATCCATTTTTTGCTGATTGCGTCTGGACCATAACTACATGGGATGGCTGTAGAGCTGCAGTTTGAAGATAGATTTGATATTCTGCCTTCCCAAGTATTTACACAGTTATTAGATTAGCTTTAATTACATTTTATAAGTAATTAATTGTAATCAGGTTTTATGAAAATATTCCTCACTATTTTTATGTCTCTTAAAAAGGTTACAAAATATGCAGTGTGACAACTTGCATTTTGGGTTTATGTCCATCTACATATATAGTTGCACTGTTTCTGTTGATACCATGGCTACAACCTAGCAAGACTTGAGTTGGTGTGTTTTGGGTCTCTCCCCCCACCCCCCACCTACAGTTTCAAGAAATTGAAAAGATTGTCAAATGTCTTCTTGGATAACACTGGATAACACTGACATCTTCTCAATGTCATTCTTCTGAAAACCTTGCTGGGAAGAATCTTCTATCCCACTTTCCACATTCTTGTTCTCCAATCAGGATTAGGAAATTACTGAAAGATTTTAATTGATCCAGTGCATTTCAGTGGTGCTAGCATGGATGTAGGCATAATTAGTAGTCGGGGTAAAATGTTTTATTGTTCTAAAAAATAAAAATTTAGAAACAATTGAAGGAAAGATGTTACCGCTAAGATGACAATATATTTTCCTTTTAGCTTGTCCTGGATTAATTGAATTTCCAGTCATGAAGCTCAGGATTTCTGTTGTATTACAAGCATTTAACAAGGTAGATAACCTCTTCTTTCCTTTTCAGTTTTTAATAAAATCTGCTTTGAGTTGAGATAAACTTCTATTGATTTCATACAGCTTTGCCTATATTTTTCTTGATAACACATGAAAGTGATTTGCCAACTTTTCAGTTATTTTTTCCCCTTCAGTTTCCCTTGGTCTTCTTTTAGTTATACATTAGATTATCATGAATTACAAGATGGGACTGATTCCACAATTCAGCTCATCATTAACTTATGTGGGACCTGTATGCTGGGTATTCAGAGATCTTCTGCTTCTTCCCTATCTATGAGATTCCAATCAAATAGTCTGGAGAGACAGTCTGGATTAAGAGCTAGGTATTCAAGATGTACTATGTACATTTAATTCTTGCATAAGATTTTACTGATCCTAAAGTCTAAGGGTATAAATCCATGAACTGGTTTTTAAGATTACAATAAATCATCTTGGTCAGGTTCTCTAGTCCTTTGAAATACACCAGCTAATGAAAGTGATTTCTGCATCATCATTCCAATATATATATATATTAGCTTAGTATTTCAGAATGTTCTTAATTATGGGATTTTTAAAAAAGTATTTAAAATGAGACTACTTTTTTGATGCACATTTTAAAAATATTTGCATAAATATTAACATGCTTCTGAAAAATAGAAAATACTAGAATAATGCAATTATAAAATCATTAAAAATTGGGGCTGAATGGAAGAAGACAAAATGCTGATTTGGAGAAATTCTTCAGCACCTAGAGTGATGAATGTCCTTAGCTGCTACTTTAGAGGAAATGCTGCAAATACAGTTTTGCATCATTTCCTCTGAAGTGAACACCAGGAGGCTTCCTCATTCCCTGGAATAAATACTGTCAAATGTTCAGCAACTGATTTCAATCAAAAGCAAGATTAAAGAGATTTTTCTTTAATAAGATTTATTTAAATAGAATAAATACAATAGATAAATCTCAGCAACCAGATTACTTCACTTTAAAACCCAATTTATTTCTCAGTGTGTTCGGATGGAGAATTTTTTCAATTTTTCATTAATGACTTCTCTGAATTGGTGAGAATGCTCTTCATTTTCCTGGTCATTGTGAAATGCATATGTGGTACCTGTGAAATTCTTTCATGCTCTTAATATATAATTATGCCTAGATGTCTTCATTCCTATTCCTGGATTTTCTGAATCTGTAATGTCTTTCTTCTTTGGAGATGTATGAAAGGGGAATGTCCATTGCTCCATCATAATTATGTCCCGATGTCCCATCCAGTTAACTTTGCAATCCCAAGAAGTAGTGACGATGCTTGTGTGGTACAAAAGCACTGCATAGAGTAAAAGAGGCAAGACTAGGGAATGCATTGAAGTGCCCTGAGAAGCACTACTATATATCAAAAGGTATAGAATCCAAGATATTCACACCTGAAGAGTCAGTTGTAGATGATGGTGGTGGTGGTGGCGGTAGTGATGATCCTTCAAGTCAGTCCAGACATTTGATGATTGCATGGGTAAGTCCCTGCAGTTTTCTTGGCAAGATTTTTGGAAATGATTTGTCGCTCCCTTCTTAGAGCTGAGAGTGAGTGACTGGCCCTAGATCACCTCTCTAGCTTAATGCCTAAGGCAGGACTAGAATTAGGTCTTCCTGGTTCTAGCTTGGTGCCTTAACTACCACATTGTTAACCTAGATCTAAATCTTTCTCTCTATAGTATAGTACAGTCATGCTGAAACACATTTTGTCCTTTTTCATGGGAAGGAAATGTAGGACAGGTTCTATGGTTGACTAACGGACATCTTTGTTTCTTTCAGTGGCATGTGGTAGCACACTGACAAGACAAAATGGACTCATTGAAAGTATTGGGTTTTCTCAACTTTACTATCCAGATAATTTATTATGTGAATGGTTTCTCCATGGACCTGAAATCATTATCTTACCATTAGTTTTGAAGCACTAGATATTCAGCACTCGGTAAAATGCCCCAAAACTACTTGGTAATTCAAGAAAATGGAGTGACAGGTATGTGAATCAATACCATCTCTTTTTCTCTCATGCCCTATTGGGTACTGAAAGGGCATATTTTGAGCTATGGCCAACATTACATGGATTTCTGGTTGTGCAATAGAAATACTTTTCAATCTCTTTTTCTCCTGGGCACACTTTATATCTGTTGTGAAGAGTACTCAAACCTACTTGAGTAGATATAGGGTTGCACAGGGAGATACAGCAGGATAATGGAATCTCTTCCACTGTGAGATGGCTTTTTAATGGCAGATACAATTAGACACAGCCCATTGTCTCTCACCGTATCTAGAATTCAAATGGATAAGCTTTTTAATGACTCTTGCTGCTGCTTATTTTCTTAGCCTACATCTACCCACCCTACATCCTCTGAAAACTATTCCCAACTGCTGCTTGAATGATGCCATCAAGAAGTGTTACACATGGCTGCATGCCATTTTGACTAACATACTCTTTGGAAACTTTTAAAGTTCTGTGGAGATAAACGTTTTAAATCTCCTAAGTGATAACAATGAAGAAGTTAACTTTTCCATAGGAAACTATACATAGACCAGGGGTGTCAAACTTAATTTCATTGAGGGCTGCATCAGGGTTGTGTTTGACCTTGGGGGACTGGAGTGGTGTGGCCAGGATGGGCATGGCCAGCTTGATGTCACTTGTGTCGGGGGCACCTGTGGTGGCCCGAGTGCTCTGCCAGAAAAATAAAAAGGTAAAATATATACTGTAGTAGAAGATACAGCAATATAACTGAGTTTTCCAATATAGTTTTTAAATGAAGTGAAGAGAACAATTTTTATTTTCTGTCCTAAGTATCCTTGTAACTTCTTTGTTCCGTAAAAAAAAAAACCTAAAGCCAAAAAAACTGACAAGTGACATCATTCCAGAGTGTGGAGGTGAACTTCGTGATACTGTGGGGACATTTTCCTCTCCCAACTACCCAAATCATTCCCTGCATAAATTAAAATGCAAATGAAGAATCATATTGCCATTTGGATGTCGGATCACCCTCACCATCAATGACATGAATTTTGGATCCAGCAAGAACTGTGGTTTGAACTATTTGGCAGTAAGTACATTATTTAGAATTTGAAAAAAGTGTATACTATGAAACCAGCTATCACAAACGAGAACATGAGAAATTAAAATGTTGGAAATAACACAAAAACCATCTCTCTCTAAGCCAAGATGATTTACTATTTTGAATGGAAAAGCATTTTGAAATATGCTTTTCCATTCAAAATAGTAAATCATTTTAAATCCCTTTAAAAATACTTGTGTAAAAATTAAAATAAGATTTTACAATATGAACAGTCTTTTCTAGAGGAATCCTTGGTGTGCTAGATTCATTGATTTATTGTAAGTTCAAAATGGTATTGGTGAAACTCTGTGGTATGGTGACACCTGGCACTCAAGTTAAGTCACAAGATAATGGTAGTTATGGTAACAAGCAGTGGTGGGATTCAGCCAGTTCACACCACTTCAGGAGAATCGTTGTTAACTTTCTGAGCAGTTTGGCAAACTGGTTGTTGGAAGAAATCATTAGGGCAGAGAATCGTTAAATTACTTGAATCCCACCACTGGTAACAAGTCAAGATTATACAGAGGCCCGCTATTTGCTATTAAATTGTTAGAGAATGTTATAAGTATTGCCTTGAGAGGTAAACCTGGAAGAAGACAATAATTTGATATTATTAAAGCAAATACATATATAAATGAGATTAATATCTGAGAAGATGTTCTACATATTGTGACTCCATTCCCTAGGAGAATTCTAAAGCAGGACTGATGTTGGAAATGTCCTTCCTCCATCTTAGAAATTTACAGAATGGCTCTTTCCAACATCAGATATGCTATCAGAAAAGCCCAAAGGATGTCATGCTGTTGAAGGCCAGAAAAGTTGCACTTATACTATTCCAATACATACCTAGTTACATAACTTATATCAGTCATGGTTGATATAAGCAGTTTGCCAATTTATTCTGATTGGTTTCAGTAGAAGTTAATTTGATGAGGGAAAGAACCAATAACTTGGGAAAGACAGAAAAAGTGAAAGCAGATAGCTGTTACATATAAACTGGGTTAACAAAATCACAAATGAGGAGATGATAAGCTGCCTTGGAAAGCAAAAGGAAACAATCAAAGCCATTAAAAAGCTAAAGTTAGAATATTTTGGACATGTGATGCAACACCCAGAAAAGTACGGCATCCTTCACTTAATCCTCCAGGGAAATATTGAAAACAAACAAGGTCCAGGCAGAAGAAGAACATCATGGCTTCAAAACCTAAAGGACTAGTTTGGACAAAACTCAACAGCACTTTTTCATGCAGCTGTTGACAAAAATAGGATTGCCAACATGATCGCCAACGTCCAATGACGGATGGCACAACAAGAACAAGAAGAAGTTAATTTAATGAGGGAAAGAACAAACAACCCGAGAAAGACTGAAAAAGTTAAAGCAGGTGCCTCTTAAAATTGACATATATAAAATTGATGTGTCTCTTGATGTAAAAATTAGGGTCATTCAAATGAACACCTGACCTCTTTTTGTGGAGCTTTGTGTGATTGTAGCTAGAATTTTGAATTCTTTTTTACATCCTACTTATACCACAGATCAGTGTGTGTGTGTGTGTACGCGCGTACTAATGTATGTGACACTAATATAATTATAGAAACTCTAATATAACATGCTGAAAAGATAATGGCATTCCGTATACCTCAGCTTATAGTCATGTTGACCACATGACCACAGGAGTGGTGTGCTGTTAGAGTTAGCGAGTTATAGTGAATTAGTTACCTTAAGATTTAAGAGCTGTCTCCTTAAGAGATTGCATTTTTTTGTTTGTTTGTTTTGTTTTGTTTTGTTTTGTTTTGTTTTGTTTTGTTTTGTTTTGTTTTGTTCACTCAAACAGAATGTCCATCAATGCTCCAAGAGAAAGAAAGGGAGGGGGTCAGGCAGTCTACATCATTTTACTGTTCTGTTCCCCAGGCCTTTGGCTCCATTGGGAACAGGCAGACAAACTCTAGCAAACAGGTTTTCATGCAGATTATATTTATTTGGGAATCCTTCAGAAACCATAGACTTACAATCAAGGTGAGTCAAGGTGAGGTTCACCCAAGAATTTCATAATCTATCCCATTTCCTAGTGTAAAATGATGGTAGTTCTGTCCCCCTGTTCAGAAAGCATGCTTCTCTCTTCTGTGGTGGTTCAAAATGGCCGGGTCTTTGTTCTAAAAACCCAGGCAGAGAGCTTCAGTGGCCAGTCAGGCACACAGATATGGTCACATGTCATGGACTATATTTCGCATAATGCAATCTCTCTCTACATCTCCCACAATGCAATCTCTTAAGGAGACAGTTCTTAATCCTTAAAGTGACTAATTAACTATGACTCACTATCTGTAACAGCACAAGTGGTCTTCGGACAATGCTGGCTCCCTCAGCTAAGAAATGGAGATGAGCACTATCTCCTAGATTCAAGTGACTGGACAAGGGAAACCTTTACCTTTATCAGATACAATCCCCCTAAAAAATACATAGGATGTGTCAACCTTTGAGGTAGTACAGACAAGAAATACCCCCAGAAATACTAGCTTTAATTTTATTTATCTAAGTTACATTAATAGACTCTTGCAAATCTAAAATTACATGTCTAACTTCACAGTCCAAAACCAAAGGTGGGGCCCTTTAGATTTGTTTGCCACTTGTCTGATCCTCTAGTCTGTGGCTCTTCTCCCTGTATTCTAAGGTCCCTCCCACATATAATTGCCACACACCTACTAAGGTTTTAATATAGATGACTTTTTATTACAAAATTACCTAGAAATTATATGACATTGGTACATCTACATATCTCTTGAGCATGCATCAATGTTTCTTCAAATATCTCACATTTCATTTTAGCCTATGGTGGTGTGAAACAAGCTGAAAGAGCTCAAATCCCAACTACCCACATCCTTACAATAGTTCTACTCATTGTTCCTGGCTCTTGATAGCACCAGAGGGACATACCATCAATGTGAGTAATCAATCATCTGTAGAGAACAAGGAAGCTTTTATATTTCTGATATGTGCTACAAAAATGAGATTCTGATTTTAGATGGCTGTGCCAATTTGTTACCTCTGTATATATGGATTTCAATTCCGAAGCAAAAAATATAAACCAAAAGCTCATGTTTCTGGAGGGCACAAAAGGGAAAAGCTATTTAGGCAAAAAGACATTCAAACAAGTGATCTTTATTTTCCACATGATTTCAGCAAATATGATTTCCTTTTTCAAAAAAAATTAGGTGCCCATTGATTATTACAGTCCAAATAGTTGGACTGTAGTTGGATTTCACTTATTTTACACACAATTTGCCCGAACCAAACTCATGCAGTCTGTTTTTCAAATTCCCTTGAGAATATTCTTCAATTCCCATTCTTCACTTACTTAAAGAGACCAAAACTGCAGTTGTAGAAGAATCGTTGAGGAACATTTAATAGGAAGAATAAACCCTTTAGTCAAGTGGCACTTGGGTCAGCAATTAGCCTGAAAAATTCCAGTTCATTGCCTCCCATTGTTGACTTGTGCAACTGTTCTGCTATCCTTGAGCTTTGTGGACTATGCATCTTAACCTTGGAATATCCAATGGCTATTCTGCCTTGCTTATCTCAACACTAAGGGTCTTCTTCATTTACACCATTGTTGGTTGCTGCCCAGGAATTTATTCTTGATCTGGATATGCAATAGAATAGTTGTTACTGGTTCCTAGTCTTTAAAAGGCTAGGATGCTGAGTTTTGTTTCCTACCTCTGATTAAAATAATGATTTGAATTAGGATTTGAGAGCTCAACTTTGTTGTGATTCGCCGGCGGCCCGACAAGGACGCTGCCTGGGGATTGGCTAGGGGGAGTGGCCAAAACACGCGGGAGTTCTGCCTGTTCTGATTGGGTAGTTAGTTGACAGATCGAAGTATAAAAGAGCTGTCATTCTCTCAGACGTGTTGGTTCTGTTCACATTTGTTACCGTTTGGTTTAATGTTAATAAACAACATTGTTCATGCCTCGCTCGCCTCGTTAATGCCTCAGCCTTCTAACAGAGCAAACTTCAAGTCCATTCAGATTATGAAACTTCCTAGGAGGGGTTGGGACAATTTGTTCTCTCTTACTCTAGTCTATCTTACATGCCCTTATTATGGGAATAAAATTGGAAGAGGAAACATATGTATGCCTCCTGAAGAAAAGGTAGGAGATGTGGGGAGGGAACATGGTTACAATGTAATTGCTTAAATCATGGTGGGTTAAACATGTGCTGCCATTTTTTCCTAGCAGTAAGTTTAACAGGCGAATATTACTACTGTGCTATATCTAATATGGCTAATGCTGATTTTATTTAACATCTTTGTCAAATGGAAAAGGGGTGGTATTGAATTGTGTTCTGAGCATATTATATTGTTTCCCTTTATAAATTAAATATTTTCAAATAAAAATCTTTGGGAAATAGCTAAAACAATATGTAAAATAAAATGGTGGTCAACCATTAGTTCTTTTGATCCAAAACAGAAACAACTGTATATATAGCATGTTTTTTCTTTTGAATCTTCAATTAAAAAACAAAATTTTAAACTATCCAGATTTTTCCCTGTCTTCTATAAATAGATGTGCCTGTTTACAGCAGGTATATAGACATGCTGGCCACATAACCATGGAAACATCTTCGGACAATTTCCTCCACTAGGAAATGGAGATGAGCACTGACCCCTAGAGTCAGACACGACTGAACAGGGGAAACCTTTACATTTTTTATGCATAGTAGTAATAGTTTGTTTGCTTATATTTATGTAGCCACAATGGTTTCTTTGGTCTTCTCTTATTGTATGTCCACAGCTTACCTTTGTTGCCTTCAAGATGGAAACACGAAGGAATTGTATGAGGACCTCAGTCACCATTCTGAATGGTGGATCTGCTATTTCCCCCCGTCATAGGACAATACTGTGGAACTACTTCTCCAGGCACCATTTTGTCTGGTTCGAATAAGGTGTTAATACATTTCCATTACAATCACTCTAGACAAGGAGATGGGTTCAATGCTACATGGACTGATGATTCTTTAGGCTAGTAAAGACCCATCTTTCTTCTTTACATGTAAAACTATTTTGTGATATGAAATCTTTTCCATTTTAATAGACTTCAATAAATTGGAGAATCGTATTTCTAAATGGCTAAGTTAAGGAATATTTTTGATTTCATCAAAAGTATCAAGAATTCCTCTATAGAAGTCTTACTTCTTGTAAACCCATCTTGCATATGAAGAACTACTATCTTAATTCTTTTACCCTTTAATTGTACCTTTATTTACAGGCAATTAGTATTGTTTTGAAATTGTGTTGCTACCAGGGATTCTTTGGTCTTTCAGAATAATGCTGATAATACTGTCAAGTACATTGAAAAGCAGAAATAGCCAGCAGAATTTCATATGAATATGAAATTGTAGCACCTCATGGTTTACAATAATTTATTTTTTTGTGTGTATGTTCCTTGTTTTATGGATTCCTGTAACATCCACACAATCTACAAAAACTCTCAAAATTCTAATTAGTTTTTTAAAAATCAACCATTTCCAAAATAGTTTTCAAATAAAAAAAAAACTATTTTCAAGAAAAAATATACATGATCAATAATTACTAAATAGATGAAGACAGTGCGACTTTGCTGTTAATGTTAATATTACTAGAGTTTATAAAGAATTGCAAATTTATTATATAATTAATTAAAAATTTTATTTGTATTATTATACATTACAATCTTTTATTTGTCTGCATAACTAAAAACCACTGGGATGCAATCATTCCTTATTCTTGCAGGATGTGGTGGCATACTTCGTAAAGAAAACAATACCATAACTTTTCACAATAGTGAAAAGGTGCTCATGGGCAGTAATTACTCATGAGAGCAAACATTTTGAAATAATCTTTGATCAGAATTTCCAGATTCCAGATAACAATGGATACTGCCAGAATAGATTTGTGAAGGAACGGATGGTTCTTTAATCTATCACTGTCCAATTTACCCTTCAATTTCAAATGTTTTGAGATTACAGTTCTTAAAATTTGCAGTCAGCATAGTTCATGTGCTTACCCAAAATTCAATAGGCATAACTGTACTGTTATGCTTCCACAGCAGTATGCCCCTCAAATATGACACTCTTTGAGATGAAATTAATGGAATGAAATAGTTTCAGTTCTTTGGCTCCTTGGAGAAATTTCAGGATCAGCCCTTCTATATATCCCTTGTTCCCAAAAGATCTGTGCAGATGAAGGAAAGTAATTTTGACTCTTCCGTCTCTCAATCTGTTTGGTGCAATTTAGAATAGGATTAAATTTAGAATATGATGGAGAATCTGACATTTTGCATTTCATTCTCTACTTTGCAACTGGGATTGTACTTTTTGCCTTGGACCATACTTTCAATGCCAAATTTAATCCTGGAATATCTAGAGTAACAGTAAAATATGTTCTTGTGGGGCAGCTTGACTTTTTCTTTCCCTTGCAGTTGAGTAATTGCTAGCATAATTTTATTTGGGAACAGCGATTTCACACAGAATCACTGAACTATATCTTTCAAAGATCCTGGAGCACCGGGGAACTGCCAGAGGACTGGAAAAGAGCTGCTGTAGTTCCCATCTTCAAAAAAAAGGGGGGGGGGAATAGATCCAGGAAACTACAAACCTATCAGCCTGTCCTCAATACCAGGGAAGATTCTGGAAAAGATAAACTACAAACCTATCAGCCTGTCCTCAATACCAGGGAAGATTCTGGAAAAGATAATCAAGCAACAAATCAACATACACCTAGAAGCAAACAAAGTAACAACCAAAAGCCAACATGGGTTTGTCAAAAACAGATCATGCCAGACTAATAGTATTGCATTCTTTGACAAAGTGACAAAATTAGTGGACCAAAGGAATGCTGTCGATATAATTTACTTGGACCCATTTGATAAAATAGACCATAACTTACTACTAGATAAAATAGAAAATGTGGGTTAGATAGCATCACCACCAGATGGATTCATAACTGGCTGACCAACTGCATTCAACATGTAGTCCTCAATGGAACTGCATGGAGGGAAGTATGCAGTGAGATACCCCAAGGCTCTGTTTTAGGCCCAGTACTCTTCAACATCTTTATCAATGATTTGAATGAAGGGATAAATGGGGAACTCATCAAATTTGCAATGACACCAAGCTAGCAGGAATAGCCAACATTCCGGAAGGTAGGCTTAAGATACAGAAGGATCTTGACAGACTTGAACATTGGGCACTATCTAACAAAATGAAATTCAATGGTGAAAAAAGTAAGGTTTTATTTAGGCAAGAAAAACAAAATGCAGTACAGTATATGTGGTACCTCACTCAATAGTAATAACTGTGAGAGGAATCTTGGAATCCTAGTGGACAACCATTTTAATATGAGCCACAGTGTGCAGCAGCTGCCAAAAAAGCCAACACAATTCTGAGCTGCATAAACAGAGGAATAGAATCAAGATCACGTGAAGTATTAATACCACTTTATAAGGCCTTGGTAAGGCCACACTTGGAATACTCCATCCAGGTTTTGTTGCCACGATATAAAAACGATGTTGAGACTCTAGAATGAGTGCAGAGAAGAGCAACAAAGATGATTAGGGGACTGGAGGCTAAAACATATGAAGAACGGTTGCAGGAACTGGGTATGTCTAGTTTAATGAAAAGAAGAACTAGGGGAACATGATAGCAGTGTTCCAATATCTCAGGGGCTGCCACAAAGAAGAAGGAATCAAGCTATTCTCCAAAGCACCTGAGGGCAGGACAAGAGCAATGGGTGGATTAGTTTCCACTAATCAAGGAGAGAAGCAACCTAGAACTAAGGAGAAATTTCCTGACAGTTAGAACAATTAATCAGTGGAACAACTTGCCTCCAGAAATTGTGAATCCTCCAACACTGAAAGTTTTTAAGAAGATACTGAAGTGGTGTAGAGTTTCCTGCCTAAGCAGGGGGTTGGACTAGAAGACCTCCAAGGTCCCTTCCAACTCTGTTATTCTGTTTTTTTTCTGTTACATCAGATTCTGTATTGAGATAGTTCTAAAGAAAATTCATATAGAAAAAGTCATCGGTAAATATTGTAAAAACTCAAAATTTGTTACCATTTTTATATATCTATCTGAACGTATGCTTTTGTTTGTTTTTCATTTAATATCTGAAAATATTCAAAATAAAAATATTTACTTTATTGATTATATATATATATATTTGTATATAATGCATTTCATTTGAAGCGTAGGGATGTTCACAATTCCTAAAACTGTTAGGTTTTAAAGAATTTGCCAAACTTTGGTCATCATTGTACAAAACTATACAATAGTCAGACTGTACAAGCTACATAATTCCCACTTGTTGCTAAAGGGCAAACATAATTTATCAAAATGTAGGAAGTCATGAGGAACTGAGTAACTATGCTTTGCTTAAAAAATGAAGGGGCTGAAATGGCATTTGCTATTTCATTCTTTGAAACTACTCTCATGGCCAAGCCATTTTTGTGTTTAAATCTTGCCTTTATAAATAGTGATGAATATTTTGATTTAAATTTCTATTTTTAACATAAAAAGATTGTAAGCAATTTTTCCTGTGCCACAAGAATATATCAAAATGTGAAGTTGTGTCTGAATTTTAAAATAATTATTTGTTAATGTATATTTATATACAGTTCAGCTCCCAAGACCGTGGGTGGTTTACAATAATAACGTCAAACAGAATAAACCAAAAAATTCATAAGTGTATCATTTAAGAAATAACTGAAGCACATAACTTTGCAAGGTGGATTATAAGTATTTGGGAAAGTAATGGTAATTTGTAAGCCTAAGAATCAACTTCTCATTCCCTGCCCATTTCTTCTATGGTATAGAATTTCTCACATAATTTGTCTTCCTGAGAAGTTGTTACAGAGTTAGGAAGTGAAGCTTCAAGCAAGAAATTATTTACACCCCATTGCTATCAATTACACAAAATTACTGGTGCTTAAATATAACACTATTATAAACCGAAGTAAAAATCAGTAATTCTTTTTTTAAAAAGGATTGGGTAGGGGTTTTTTTTTCTGGTTCTATATTTTGTGATATAGTAATTAAAGTGTTGGTCTAGAACAGGGAAACTCATGTTCAAATCCATCTTCAGACATCTAATTTACCTCAGGTTTATTATGAGAAAAAAATGAAGGAGGTAATAGTATGTACTGTATATTGCCTTAAGTTCCTGGAAGAAAGACAGAATATAAATCTCAGAATATATAGGATTAGTATTTTAAAATCCATTATTAAGTTTGTCACCTTGTTGTCAACCATTTTAGCATATTTGTATGTGTTTGTGTGTCTGTGGTATTTCTTTTCTCTTGTATTCTATTTTAACTTACTATGATTCCTGTATTTTATGTGCTGACTATGACCAAACAAAGATTTGAAGTTGAAGTTAGATGGTACATAAGTAGATGGATGAAGAAAAGATGGAGGGTTCCAGCTTATATTTGTTTCCTAACTTTAAAAATAAATAAAACAGACAGGGAATTTTAATTGGCAAATGGTTAAAGATGTACATGCGCTGATATATAAAATGCCACATGAACCTAAAGGAACCAGGTATAAAGTTTCCCTACTGTGGGCATTGGTGAGCCTGGTAGCTCAGCAGACTGATAGCATTGTGATTAACACCAGCTGTCTGCAATTACTGTAAGTTTGAATCTCACCAGGCTCAAGGTTGACTCAGCCTTCCATCCTTTCTAAGGTAGGTAAATTGAGGAGCCAATTTGTGGGGGCAATAAGCTGACTTTGTATAAATATACAAAAGTATAAAGGCTATTGCTTAATGCATTGTAAGCCGCCCTGAGTCTCCGGAGAAGGGCAGCATATAAATCAAATTAAAAAAACAAAAAACACAGCTATGAAAAAGATTTAGATTTTGTGACAACTGAATCAGTGGTGGTATTGAGCCAGTTCTATCCGGTTAGGGCGAACTGGTAGTGGCGATTGCCGGAGGCTCCGCCAACCCACCCAGATGTCATCACATCCCGTTTTTGACACTCTGTGCATGCGCGGAAGGCCCTGCACATGCGTGGAGGTGGCCCATGCGCTCCCATTTGCAAACCGGTAGCAAAGATAAGTGAATACTCCTGAACTAAATAATTATAAATGTTTTGATATATTCAATATCATTCTGTTGGATCCCACTTAGGTGAGTTGGTAAAGTCTTTATTTATTATAATCACGTTTATATCTAGGGATCAGAATATAAGTCAGTGTCAATGAAAATCACCCTATTGTTTTACATACATATTAACACTTTGTCTTCCAGGTACTGAGAGGAGGAGATAAAGAACAAGAACACACCATATTAGCTGTTGGATGTGGAAACTCAGCTCCAGGGCCTACAGTTACTCCAGGAAATGTGATGACTGTAGCATTTCAGTCACAGAACATTTCAGGATGTGGGTTTTCTGTATCATTTATAAACAGTAAGTAATTTGTGCAGTGATATTTTCTAAATCCCTCTGCCCTTATATCAGGATATCTGACATAAATAGATGTCATAACATTTACAATATTTCATCATAATATACATCATTCATTATAATGTACATGCGCTGATATATAAAATGCCATATGAACCTAAGGAACCAGGTATAAAGTTTCTCTACTGTGTACTTTGGTGAACCACAGCTATGAAAAAGATTTAGATTTTGTGACAACTGAATCAGTGGTGGTATTCAGCCGGTTCTATCTGGTTCGGGTGAACCGGGGATGTGGTGGCTCAGTGGCTAAGATGCTGAGCTTGTCGATCGAAAGGTCGGCAGTTCAGCGGTTCAAATCCCTAGTGCCACATAATGGGGTGAGCTCCCGTTACTTGTCCCAGCTTCTGCCAACATAGCAGTTCGAAAGCACGTAAAAAATGCAAGTAGAAAAATAGGGTTCACCTTTGGTGGGAAGGGTAACAACGTTCTGTGCACCTTTGGCATTGAGTCAGAATCTGTCAGAACTTGCTGGATTTCACCTCTGGTTTGGATGTCCAGAGCATCTGATAATAATTTAATAGATATGTCATAAAGAAATTAGTAAGTAACCCTAAGTCCAAAGTTTTATGTGTCTCAGTAATGCATAATTATATGTATTTAATCTGATACTTCCAGCAATATATGAATTTGGTTACTCATTAAACCCAGCACAAACACATGATAAAGGCTGGCTTACGTTTCTTATCCCAAAACTGACTGACACGTGATGTTGGATCATAGGTTATAGGTATATTGCAGGGGTGGGTTCTACTTACCTTTACTACCGGTTTGCAACTGGAGCACGTGCAAGCGCTTTGCTTGTGCTTCTGCACATGCGCAGATCATCAATTATGACATCTGGGCGGGTGGGCGGAGCCTCCCGCCATTTTTACTACCAGTTCGAAAGAACCGGACAGAACCAGGAGTAACCCACCATTGGTATATTGGTAATTATGTATGAAGAGTCTGCTGCAAATTTCTGCAGGACCTGGTTATGAAATCTGCTCAGATTCTTCCATAACTTGTGCTGTGCAAGGCTGCTTTAATGCTGCACAAAGCTATTTTTCTTACTGAGGAATGGATGGGATCCTGTTTTTCCAAGAAAAGGCAATTCCTATTTCTTTGATGGCCTTCTGAAATACAAAAAAGCAGCAGGCAGCAACAAAGCAACTTTGCTTTGCTCATTAAATGTGGTGAGGCAAATTATTTTATAAAGAAATGCTTTTCTTGAGCCTTCTTAAAAGCAAATCACCCATATAAAGCATAACTGAATTTGCCTCTTGTTCTCTGTACCAGGGATGGCCAGATTTACCTGTACTTGAAAATTTAAGTAAAGGTAAATGTATTTATTTCTTCATCACATAGCAAATGACCAAAGTTATAATAGCCATACATTATAAGAACTGTATAATATTGCTAATTAAGCCAAAATGTAACAGTAATGGGACATGACCCAATCTTATTCTGTTCTCAATTGCATCTCTGGTGGATGATTTATATAACATAACTGAAAGGAACCAGAATTATCTATCTTATCCTCATTTTAATGTCATTGGAAACTAATTTTATATTCAAAGCAGCCCCTCCCCATTTTTTACTAAAAGAGGATGTTCAAATTTGTTATTCCAAAAGTGACATAAATAATTGATACCAACATCAACTTCTTTCAGCATCTCTAAATATCATAGCTAGAAAACCACTGTTAATTCATCTAGAATACATAAATACATAACGTTATAAAAGGGACTCCCAAAACTGAATGTCCTTGCCCTTCAAAAAAAAAAAAAGGAAAGAAAACTTTCCTTGCGTTAAAAAATACAGTAAATATTCCAATAAGTTTATTTCAACTCCAGTATTCTTCTGAAAATATTAGGAAAATGCAGGAATTTTTCTTTTCCTGGCAAATTAAATAAAAGCTTTTCACTCTGGCAGACTTGGAGAATTAATGGGTGAATAGGGAGACCTCAGCTATAGCAACCACACCAGTCATCTGCTCTTGAGTCAAATGATTCCTATTGCCTCATGACAGACTGAAGTTGCTGATACAGATTCATGTGAGACTCGTCTTTAATTGTCTAGTCCATATATCTCACTAAGAAGTAGAAATAGAAAAGGAGATCCTTTATTTGTTGCTGTTTTGTTTTTATCCTTTGAGTCACTGTTGACTCCTGACAACTGCCTGGGAAATTCCAGGCAACTCCTTGCAGTTTTCTTGACAAGATTTTGGAAATGGTTTTCATCGGAGGTGAAATCCAGCAGGTTCTGACAGGTTCTGGAGAACCGGTAGTGGAAATTTTGAGTAGTTCGGAAAACCGGCAAATACCACCTCTGGCTGGCCCCAGAGTGGGGTGGGAATGGAGACTTTGCAATAGCCTTCCCCTGGAGTGGAGTGGGAATGAAGATTTTGCAGTATCCTTCCTTTGCCATGCCACCAAGCCACGCCCACCAAGCCACACTATGCCCACCAAGCCACGCCCACAGAACTAGTAGTAAAAAAAATTGGATTTCATCACTGGTTTGCATTGTCTCCAAGTCTGAGAAAGAGAGACTATTTCAAGGTTTACCCAGTTAGCTTTGGATCTAAGGCTCATTGCCTCTTGGTTTCTAACCGGATGTCTTAGCTGCACATCGAAATGGCTCTTTTTATTCCATTAGATAGACTTAATTACTATAATATTAAAATTCTTGGCAATGCAAAGCAAACTTAAGCATTGTTTTATTAGACAACATTTGTGTAAATAATGAACTATCACACTTGGAACAAACCATCACATTCCAGGTGTTCTGTGGAATCATTTTGGTTTAGCCATGGTTTGGCAGAACCAAAACCCACAGTGCTTTAGTGGTCCAAAATTTCAGCTGAAGCAAAATTGGATGGGGAAAGTAGAAAAAGCTGGTATATATAATCATTCTTTCCCATCAGCCAATGTGATATATGTCATTGGTTTGTTTATCTGTTATCTTCCTAGGAGCCAGTAAGATCACGGGATACAGAGGATGATGAGCAGAATGGAATGAAACACACTAATCTTATTCTTCACGTCATCTTTTTTCATTTTTCCCATTTCCTCTGCTGAAGCCTTTCTGTTTGGAACAGCCCCAGTTCATTCTGTACATAGACCAAAGCAGCCTTACTTTGGTCTCTGATCAGTTCATCAAAAGTCTAGCATTTTCAAATGAATTATAAATTGATTAATTCTTTAAAAATGAAGATAATATTGCTTTATATTCTTAATATTGTTATTTACTGTGCCCTTTCTGCAATTGTGATTAGACCATCAGCTTCAATTATTATCTGTTACAAGATTTGATAGCTTAGTAGTATCCTAATTCGAAATATTTGAGCTCCCTCAACTATGAAGGATATTTTCAGGGAACATAATTCTTCTCTGAAAACAAGTATGAAGAGTAAGAGAGCTTGCTAAAAAGCAAGCATTATTTAGCACATGCCTCTATTGTGGAATTCCAAAATAACTATTTGTTAATTTGTCTCTGTATACAAATAAATACTCCCCCCCCCCACCTTTCAAGTGTTAACAGAAGAAATAAAAAATCATCTCCTTCTTAGGAAGTCTTCCATACTAGGAGCTTTTATTTATTTTCCAGTACAGTCTTCTTTCTTTGTTAGTTCTTCAAGCCAAATGACTTCTTTAAAAACCTCATTTACATCACATTATTTGTCATTGGTTTCCTAAAACTTTCAAACTACATGCTCTATGGATGTGAGAAACAGCTCACAATTCCCAGCCAGAATGACTAAAAGCACAAAAATCATCTACACTTCCTGACTTTATTCTGAAAAGGTCATTTCAAGCTGGGTTTGGTTAAAATGTAAACCATTTTGAGCTATGAATGCTAAATTGCTTTCTTTTTAATTCATGAATATTTGAGGCAGTAAACCATGATCTGGGAAGAAAGATTCACTAGTATGCTTTATTCTCTGTTACATCATGGTTTTAAAATACTTAAGGTCCATTTTCAACAACACTACTTGTGACTGTTCTACTGAAAATACTTGATCACAAGTTAGTTGTATGACTAATTTCTGTGGCAAGCAACTGTTAGAAATCTTGGCATTCAAATAAAAGATTGAGTTTCTGGAAAAAAATAAGTGAATGTTACTTATTTAGTAATATTCTTCTGTTTTCTTAAATTATGTTTTTGAGGTCTCATTTGTTCTCTTTCTATCTTACACATTATATGTCCACGTATTAAAAATGGATGTTGAAGACAAACATATGGACCTAGTAGATTGCATGGCGTGCACACACAAATTCTTAATTTATCTGTTTGGATATTGGGAGGATAAATAACTTTGGTCTTTCAATCATATGAAGCCCCTTCATATAATTAACACATGAAGAAGCTTTTTTTAAATAGAAAAATGTATTTCATTTATATTATTCCTCACTGCAATTGGTTTATCAGTAATGTCACTATTCATTATTATAAACTTTGCTTCTATAATATGGGTGGAAAGAAGCACATTAGGATAGGTGAGTAAATAGATTCACAAGATATTGATAAATTGTTCTTCATTTGGGGTCTCAGTGCTTTGGAATATTGTGCTTTTGATGGAGTGAAGGTTTTTAAAAGAAGTACAATTGTTGAGACACTTTGTGAAATAAAATCAGGGGTGAAATCCAGCAGGTTCTGACAGATTCTGAAGAACCAGAAGCGGAAATTTTGAGTAGTGCGGAGAACTGGCAAATACCACCTCTGACTGACCCCAGAGTGCAGTGGGAATGGAGATTTTGCAGTATCCTTCCCCAGCCACGCTCACTAACGCATGCCCACAGAATCGGTAGTAAAAAAAATTGGATTTCACCACTGAATAAAATCCTATATTGTTGGCACTGGATTTTTGATCACTTATAGGGTAATCTGTGGGTAGTCACAAATATAGCACTTTGAAAGTGAAATAGCCAAATGTTTACAAGAGGGTACAAATTCATATCCTTATGTGTTTTTCTAAATCAGAAAGGGGACCAAGATATTAAAAGGAATCATAATCCATGCAATCTGTATGTGCAACTCTAAATTTTGAATTTTGTTTCAGAAGTAAGACACTTTAGCTCTCAGCTTTAAATAGGGGTAAACATTCTGGAATATGTAATTATAAATTTCATCACAATTAGTACTTTATTTCATAAAATATAATCACACTGTTGCTAGAAGTAGTATACATACAGCATTGACCACAGGGCAAATTATTAATTTTTATTAGTTAATAAGACAAGTCTTAATTCTATTTTTTTAATGAAGTCAATTTTAAAAAGTACCAGTAACTCCATCTCCAAAAATGTTCTTGAAATCTGTTACACATTACAGAAAATATTGATACAGTTTCTGTTTAAAATCTTTCTTGTTAAGTAATAATGAACTTCATTGTTAAAGTCTGATGCAGCCTATTTTTAAATTGCAAATTTAGCACACGGTAAGCCTAAAGCAGGGGTTTTAACAATTTTAATCTAGCATAGTGGTACTACAACTAATGTTACTGAAGTAATCTTTGACTATATTGATCGTTCTGAATATAGAAAGAGAATCAACAAAAGACCTTTCTTACTGATCTGACACTGGATAAGTAACACAAAATTCCAACATTCTGCCTAGCCCAGTATTTGTATTTAATGGGGCATTACAAAAATAGAGTGGAGCTCTACCGGAGATCCGGTAGTAAAAATTCTGACTGGCCCCGCCCCCATCAATTCTCCCAAGTCCTACTGATTGGAAGAAAATGGGGATTTTGCAGTAACCTTCCCCTGGAGTGGGGTGGGATGGAGATTTTAAGGTATCCTTCCCCTGCCACACCCACCAAGCCACACCCACACCATGCCACACCCACCAAGCCACACCCACAAACCGTATTAAAAAATTTTGAAACCCACCACTGCTGTATACATATAACTGCATATCCTCAAATCCATCTAACACCATAATGAAGTTTGCAGACGACACAATGGTGTTGGGGCTTAAAACTGGAGGGACGAATCAGCATACAGGGAAGAAGTCCAAAGGTATCCATATGGTGTTCAAAAAACAACTTATGTCAGCTTTGGAAGCCATATTAGGCCGGAAGCTTCCACGCTGCCACCTTCTCATGTGTGGGAAAGTAGGAGGGGGGATTTAGTAAAGGGATTGTCTTTAGACAAAATAGCATTCTTCCTTTCAGTCAAAGTCAGGACGATCCTGCATTTGGAGAAGGATGATTGAGTGCTGTCTCGAAATGGGACGCATGGTGATTGGAGCATGTAATCGACTGTTGATGAGGAGATGGTTTGGGGTTTTTTGATTTACTGAGGGAAAACCCAGAACTCTCAGATTCGATTTTCCCAGATGTGCCAGTATACCTACACTAATAAATAGAACTTTAGAAAATGCTTGCTTCAGAGGTTTTAATTGGAATTGGGAGTTTTCTGGAAAGCTGACATTTACATCTAAGTACTAGCAAGACAAAGAGATGGTGCTAGATTTCCGGAAGCACAGAGAGGTGCCTGCTCCTGTGTATCAAGGGGAACCATGTGAGAGGGTTTCCTCTTTAAAATGAATGCTCATAGCAAGATGTTTACAAGAGGGTACAAATTCATATCCTTATGTGTTTTTCTAAATCAGAAAGGGGACCAAGATATTAAAAGGAATCATAATCCATGCAATCTGTATGTGCAACTCTAAATTTTGAATTTTGTTTCATAAGTAAGACACTTTAGCTCTCAGCTTTAAATAGGGGTAAACATTCTGAATATGTAATTATAAATTTCATCACAATTAGTACTTTATTTCATAAAATATAATCACACTGTTGCTAGAAGTAGTATACATACAGCATTGACCACAGGGCAAATTATTAATTTTTATTAGTTAATAAGACAAGTCTTAATTCTATTTTTTTAATGAAGTCAATTTTAAAAAGTACCAGTAACTCCATCTCCAAAAATGTTCTTGAAATCTGTTACACATTACAGAAAATATTGATACAGTTTCTGTTTAAAATCTTTCTTGTTAAGTAATAATGAACTTCATTGTTAAAGTCTGATGCAGCCTATTTTTAAATTGCAAATTTAGCACACGGTAAGCCTAAAGCAGGGGTTTTAACAATTTTAATCTAGCATAGTGGTACTACAACTAATGTTACTGAAGTAATCTTTGACTATATTGATCGTTCTGAATATAGAAAGAGAATCAACAAAAGACCTTTTCTTACTGATCTGACACTGGATAAGTAACACAAAATTCCAACATTCTGCCTAGCCCAGTATTTGTATTTAATGGGGCATTACAAAAATAGAGTGGAGCTCCTTGTAAATTCGAGAATGCATTTTTCCAGGCTGATTTCATCCCATTAAGTTCTAACAGTATAAAATTATATAACAAAGAAATGTACTGTACAAACAATTCATACTTTTTTCTTTAAAAAAAGAATATGCATTCTGAGACTTTATTAAATGTTATTAACCTGCCACAAATACTTGTAGACACAAGCCAAAACATTCACCTTAATTTGCTATTCCATTCACAAAACAAGATTATAATAATAATGGTCAACTGTACTTGAATTCAAGTTCCATTGGTAAATTTCTTCAATAATCCTCATAGGATTAAACTGTGATGACATGAGTCTGGAAAAATCTTGTGTGGATATTGTTTTCTTTATTTCTGTTTTGGAGTACATGTGTATGTGTATGTGTGGGAGGGGTATTTTAAAGGCTACAACAAGTAGAATAGGTGAAAATTTTGCTTTCTCTTTCATCCCAGAAATAGACTAGGGTTACCAGATCTGGACTGTTCAAAACACTCATTTTAACCATGAGATTACAGAGTGACAGTTCAGTGGAGAAGTAAGATAAAGAGATGGAAGAAGTGATTAGAGTAAGGAAGTCAAAAATCAATCAATCAGAATAGAGCTGGAAGAGACTTTAGAGATCTTCTAGTCCAACCCCCTTCTCAAGCAGGAGATCCTATACCATTTCAGATAAGTGACTATCCAGTCTCTTCTTAAAAACCTCCAATGATGCAATACCTACAACTTTTGATGGCAAGTTGTTCCATTGGTTAATTGTCCTCACTGTTAAGAAGTTTCTCCTTAGTTCCAGGTTGCTTCTGTCCTTGATTAGTTTCCATCCATTGTTTCTTGTCCTGCCTACAGTGCTTTGGTAAATAAGTTGACCCCCTCTTCTTTGTGGCAACCTCTCAAATACTGAAATACTGCTATGTTACCCCTAGTCCTTCTTTTTTCTAGACTAGTCAAACCCAGATCCTGCAACCATTCTTCATATGTTTTAGTCTCCAGGCCTTTAATTATCTTAGTTGCTCTTCTTTGCACTTTTTCCAAAGTCTCAACATCTTTTTTGTAATGTGGTGACCAAAACTAGTCTTGGCCTTACTAAGGCTTTATAAAAGTGGTACTAATATTTCATGTGATTTTGATTTATGCCTGTTTATATAATCAAAGATTGTGTTCGCTTTTTTGGCTATCACATACTGCTGCCTCATATTTAAGTGATCGTCTACTAGGACTCCAAGGTCCCTCTCATAGTTATTGTTTTTGAGTTAGGTTTCACCTAATCTGTATTTTGGTTTTTCCTGCCTAGGTATAAAACCTTGCTTTTCTCCACATTATATTTCATGTTATTGAATAGGACCCATTGTTCAAGACTGTCAAGATGTTTTGAATCCTGAGCTTGTCTTCTGTGGTGTTGGCTATTCCTGCCAGCTTAGTATCATCTGCAAATTTGATGAGTTCCCATTCTAATCTTCCATCTAAATCATTTATGAATATATTGAAGGGTACTGGGCCTAAGACAGACCCCTGTGGCAACCAGTAGTAATGAGATTTGAAACCCATTACTACATTACATTGAACTTCAAGATAACTTGGTCATTTTCATCCAAAGTTCTGGTAATTTAAACTCCCTCTAGCGCTTCTTCTCTATTAGTAAGAACTAGGTCTAGCATAGCTTTTCCTCTAGTTCCCTCCTGTATCTTTTGGATGACAAAGTTGTCAGCTAAGTTGGTTAGGAATCTGTTTGATCTCCCAATTGCTGCAGAGTTTGCCTCCCGGTTGATATTTATTTATTTATTTATTTATTTTATCAAATTTATATGCTGCCCTTCTCCCGTAAGACTCGGGGCGGCTCACAGAATGGAAACAACACAATAATAAAACAGTGCTAAAACAAGCCAATTTAAAATCCCCAGAAAATTGCTGCCCGTCTCCCGCAGGACTCGGGGCGGCTCACAGAATAGAAACAACATAACAATAAAATAGTGCTAAAACAAGCCAATTTAATGACTTGTTTTATCAGGGTAATATCAGGGTAGTTAAAATCTCCCATTACAGTAGTGGTATATTTCCTACATTTGTTAGTTGTATAGCAAAAAGTTCATCTATTTCTTCTGCTTGGTTGGGTGGCCTGTAGTATACCCCTATAGCAATGTCATTCTTTTTTACTTTTATATTGACCCATATGGATTCTAGGATGTTTTCATCCTTGGTTTTGTGGATTTCTGTAGAGATGTAGTGATCTTTTATATACTGCAACTCCACCTCCTCTTTTGTTAGGTCTGTTTCTTTTGAACAGTTTGTTGTCAGCATTCCAGAAAAACCCCAACTCCAAGTAAAGACGCGGAAGAAAGCATTTTCCAAAGTTCTCTTTACTAGAATAGGCAAACTGGCACATCTGGGAAAACCCGAATCTGAAAAGCCCGGGTTTTCCCTCAGTAAGTCAAAAAAACCCCAAACCATCCTCTTTCTCCCCAGTCGATCACATGCTCAAATCAACGTCCGTTCTATCTTGACCCAGCCTCCTGACCACTCCTTCTCCAGATGCTGGATCGCCCTGACCTTGACCGACAGGAAGAATGCTATTATGTCTACTAACAACCCCTTTCCTTAATCCCCCTCCTACTTTCCCACACATGAGAAGGTGGCAGCATTGAAGCTTCTGGCCTAATATGGCTTCCAAAGCTGACATTTGTATTCTTCCATCAGTACATTCCAGTCATGACTTTCATCTCACCATGTTTCAGCAATGGTAACTATATCATATTTACCTTCATATACTAGTATTTCAAGTTAACCCTATTTGTTCCCTAAACTTTGAGCATTCAGGTTTAGGCATGAGTCCTTTATGAATCTCGAGTATGTTTCTTATATCTTCTACTTTGTATCTGGGTTTTCCATCCTTTCCATCACTCTCTACTTCACTGTGTTTTTTCCTCCTCCTCCTCCTTAATCCCTACCTCCTTATATGATTATCTGGTGGTGGTTATCTAGTGGTTTTTGTTTAGAATCAGGTCTAAAGGTCTTGAAGATCGCCCCCCCTCTATTTTAGTTTTAATTTTAGCTTAATTTTAGATGTAACAAAAAGTTCAGAGTAGGAATCAGCTTAGTGGAGGTTGTGAAGCTAATTTGAAGATTCTATAGCAATCTTTCTCAACCTTGACCACTTGAAGATGTCAATGTTGAGAAACACTTCTGTTTAGTCAAAGATCAAAAATATTTGTACTTTTCAGCTGATGGTGACTTCTCAGGAAATGTTCTTATTTACTTCAGTCTTGACTCTGACTGACAGTGACTGGTCCAAAATCACCCATCTGGTTTCCTACCTAAAATACAACCAGAGCTCCAATTTTCCAACCCAGTGTCTTTAACCACTACACCAAATTAGTTTTCCTCTTAATGCAGGTAAATATATATGAGAGCCAGTTTGGTCTAATGATTAAGACTAGAAAGTGGAAGATTGTGAGTTCTAGTCCCACCTTAGCCATGAAAGCCAGCTGGGTGACATGGGTCAGCTTCTGTCTTTCACTTCAAATCACCTTACACAACACCTTGTTGTTGTGGAGAAAATAGGAGGAGGATGTGTTGGGTTCGTTTGCTCTTTTGAGTTATTTGAGTTAAAAATAATAAAGGAGGGATATAAACAAACAAACAAACAAAACAAACTCAGTTGAAGCTGGTAACAGATGGAGGGACTCCTATTCATTTAAGTAAGCCGATGGTTCGAAAATGCATTCCCTTTGATAAAAAGCCACTGCTTATAAACAATCTTTGTTCAAAGTAATTCACCCTGATAGCTACCGGCTTGATCGAATAACAACCCAGGATGACAATATTCATTTACACTTGAAAAAGTCTTTCATAACTCAAATTGGTTGCTGCTATTTGACCTTTGATTTTATGACATTTGTGAAGTATGACTAGAAGCTTTTTATTAAATTGGTTTTCCCCTCCAAAGCAGATTCTAGCAATTAACATTGTTGCCGATCAGCTTTATTCTCAACAAGATAAGAAAAGGGGCTGATGTGTGTATATTTGCTTGCTTATTAAAAATTCTGTTCTCCTATTTTCTGAGTTTAAGTCATTTAATTCCAAGCAGTCCAAAGTGATCTGTTTTCAGTAGACTACTCCACCCTATTATAGCTGAAAATGGAGACAGAAAACTGGGATAGCCATTGTCCTTAAAAGAGTTTTTGCAAATGTTTGTGACTGTGATGACTACTCTTTAGAACTTGGGTAGTTGTGGGTTTCAGCCATTTGTCAAGAGGGCCAAAGTGTAAGTTGCCAAGTCAAGATTATAAAACAGAGTACAATTGCTGAGTTGTAAAGCAGGGAATAAAGCCTTATGTCTTGGACTTGGCAAGTCATTATGGGAAAAGAAAAAGAAGCTTGCTTGAATGTACTATGGCTTCTGCTATTGCAAGTTGTCAAGTGGATCTTGAAGCAAAGGACATTAACTTTCACCCCCAAAATTCAGGCAAGTAGAAAATCATTCAACTGTGCTTCTTTTGAAAAAAGTTAAAAATCTGCCACTGCCTCCAGCTGAAGCACTGACTGCATATAAAGGCATTCCCAGAAACCATATAAATAATATAAATAAGGTAGGAAATATTCACCGGAAAACTCTTTAAAAATGGTCATTTCATCCCACAGGAAGCTACGTAATTTTTCCAACGATTAAGGAAAGTCTTCTTTTGCTCCATCTCTAACAAAATTTTGGTTGATCAGAACATAAATCATGCACAATGTCTTGCAAATGCAGAACATATGTCCCAGTGAGAATTTTTGCATTAGCCTTCTTTATAACATTTTCTCATCTACTGAAAACTTTTTACTTTTCACAGATTTTCAGTTTACAATTTCTTGTATGTGTCTATGTAAATGATGGGATATCTTAATTATTTGTATGATTTGTTATATTTTATATGGATCATTTTTTTGTAATTTAGTTACTTTTATTGTTAATTGTACTTTATTTCTAAAAGTTTATCTGAAGCACTTGTTTGTTGGTTTAACTGGAAAAATAAAGGGAGGTGTGATTAAGATGTTGGATGGAGATTCAACCTCCCTGTAAATCATGACATTTACAGGCTGGTATTATTAGCTGCTCATTCTAGTCTAGTTTGTTTCATGGTTGTTTTGAGGATTATCAATATTCCTGCAGGATAGGCAGAATATATATATTATAATAAACAGAATTATAAATAACTTTACAAAGTTATATCCCAAAAAAATTGATTTAAATTAATACATTATTCATGACTAAATTTTCACATTAATTTTAATATAACTGATGCACAGTTAAAAAGGAGAACAAATTGTGGCGCCGCCTTTAATTAATCAGTTTTATTATATCATGAATCAATCCCATCATCCAATCCATAGATAACTTCATTTAAATCTATTAATGGTTAATGTCTTTTTGCTTGTGCCTTCAAGTCACTTCTGATGACTGCATATTTCTTGGAAAATTATAACAGTCATAATTTTTCATTTCTCTCTTTTCATCAAACCTTGTGGGGGCACTTTTAATGTCTCCAGGGGCAAAATCAAAAGCCCTACGTATTCATTCATGGACTATCATGACAATATGAACTGTTCATACCACATAAATGTTGGAAACAACAAAATAGTGGAACTCATGTACATAAGTTAAAAGCAATTTTTAATGAACCATAACAACTGTTGTAGGGAGAGAGGATGCTTAATAAAAAAACAGGTTGTGTTTTTAAACAAAAGTAACCTACTTATAGGTTACTATAACTGGGAGTTTTCTATAATTATGGAAAAACTATCATGATTGCTGAACCCATATCAAAAAAGCAGTCTTATTTAGGGTCTTTCCATAAAATTATCCATTTTATTTCTTTGAGGCTATAGTCAGTATCATAAACAGGGAACCTGTTGCCTTCTTGTCTATGGAGATTCTCAGTCATCCAGGTCAAGGTTGTCCCAAAGGTTCTTTTTGCCCAGTAACCACTCTGGGAACTCAGAGTATACCACTCTGTATACTTCAACAGTATATTTTCTAGGATTATTAGCCATATCTGGCAAGGTACAAGTTCTTCATTTTGGGCTTATAATTACTATCATCTTACATAGCACAAAGCTGCACCAAAATTCTTTTGTGACTCAGGTAGCCTACATTCCAGATATTAAAAAATATCATACTTTAAATTAACCTTTCCTAATTTAGGCGATCTTAAAGGTCTCCCGTAAAATGCTTATTCATAACCTTCACAAGTAGATTCTAGTTACCAAACCTATATCAATTGCAGTTATCCTTTTGTATAGATGTGTGTTAAATCTTTACAGATTCAATTGCTTTCATCTTGAGGTCTCTTCTTGTCTCAGAGGCTATGTTGCAATTTATGATGGCCCAAACATTGCTTCTCCGCTACTTGGGAAATTCTGTGATGCAATCCTTCCTTCTCCTATCAAGAGTTCCTCAAACAACTTGCTGCTAGTATTTAGGACAGGTGCCTTTGGAGCTGCCGATGGATGGCAAGCATCTTTCAGAGAGACAATAGGTAAAATTATATTCATATGAAGAGCTCCTAGCATGCTAAGCAGGGGTGAAATCCAGCAGGTTCTGACAGGTTCTAGAGAACCGGGAGCAGAAATTTTGAGCAGTTTGGAGAACTGGCAAATACCACCTCTGGCTGGCCCCAGAGTGGGGTGGGAATGGAGATTTTGCAGTATCCTTCCCCTGCCACACCCACCGAGCCACGTCCACCGAGCCACACCACGCCCACCGAGCCACGCCCACAGAACTGGTAGTTTAAAAATTTGGATTTCACCACTGATGTTAAGTACAATCAACTGTTATAAAAGTGCTCACCTCTTAGTGGTTCCAGGTCATCAGATTAAAGCAGTTGATCTATAGGCAATCTGCAGCATGAGGCAAGGAAAGGCAGAGAGAGACAATAGGAAGTGTGTAAACAATAAGAGTTCAAGAGGGAAGGGATAGTATCCCCTGGCTTCTCTTTATTCCTATTCTACAAATAACTTTTTTAAAAACATAGAACAAAATGCAAAACAAAAGATATACATGCAGTCTTTTTTGTTTGTTTGTTTTTCAACATTCTAGGCCACAATAAATGGCTGGTTGGCTTAACATTTAAACATGATTAAAGTAAAATGCCTAAAGGTGGGTGCCTTCCTGAGGGAAATAAACAAAAGGTCCTTACAATCTTCCTAAGCCAAGGCCTTTTAAAAAAAAGCTAAAATTTTAATGCTATTTAAAGACTGAGAAGATGGGAGCCATACAAATCTCAGGATATTATTCCAGAGGCCAAGAACTGCAGTAATGAAGGTCTGCCTGCTGGATCTTGCTACTAGAGGGCACTGCCTGATGAAGAGAACAAGAGATAGCCAATTCTGCCAGATTCTGCAAAAATCATGGGAAACAATTGATCCCTGTAATAACTAGGCCTTATGTACCTTGATCTGCAGTACCTTGAATCCAACTAATAAGCAATGAAGCGTAAATATTTCATAAGCATGGCATGCTTGTCCATTACTGTTTGTGACACTGTATTCTGTATGAGCTATAGTTTCCACATAGTTTTCAAAGGCAGTTCATATAGAGCAGATTCCTTATGAATGACCATAAGAAAGGACTTTCAGTTTGGGAAAGGCAGAAAATATCACATCTTTCCCTCCCCTCATTTGTGACTGGGTCAAAGACCCAAAGACTGGGTCAAAGATGGACCATTCACAAAAAGTAAGGATTGGGTCTCTGACATCTTCCACCCTGAAGCTCAGCACAAGCTCCCCTCAGGGCTGCGTGCTCAGCCCCTTCCTGTACTCACTGTATACCAGAGGTGGGTTTCAGCAGGTTCTGACCAGTTCTGGAGAACCGGTAGCGGAAATTTTGAATAGTTCGGAGATCCGGTAGTAAAAATTCTGACTGGCCCCGCCCCCATCAATTCTCTGCCTCCCAAGTCCTAGCTGATTGGAAGAAAATGGGGATTTTGCAGTAACCTTCCCCTGGAGTGGGGTGGGAATGGAGATTTTAAGGTATCCTTCCCCTGCCACACCCACCAAGCCACACCCACACCATGCCACACCCACCAAGCCACACCCACAGAACCGGTAGTAAAAAATTTTGAAACCCACCACTGCTGTATACATATAACTGCATATCCTCAAATCCATCTAACACCATAATGAAGTTTGCAGACGACACAATGGTGTTGGGGCTTATAACTGGAGGGGACGAATCAGCATACAGGGAAGAAGTCCAGAAGGTATCCATATGGTGTTCAAAAAACAACTTATTGTCAGCTTTGGAAGCCATATTAGGCCGGAAGCTTCCACGCTGCCACCTTCTCATGTGTGGGAAAGTAGGAGGGGGGATTTAGTAAAGGGATTGTCTTTAGACAAAATAGCATTCTTCCTTTCAGTCAAAGTCAGGACGATCCTGCATTTGGAGAAGGAGTGATTGGAGTGCTGTCTCGAAATGGGACGCATGGTGATTGGAGCATGTAATCGACTGTTGAGTGAGGAGATGGTTTGGGGTTTTTTGATTTACTGAGGGAAAACCCAGAACTCTCAGATTCGAGTTTTCCCAGATGTGCCAGTATACCTACCCTAATAAATAGAACTTTGAGAAAATGCTTGCTTCAGAGGTTTTAATTGGAATTGGGAGTTTTCTGGAAAGCTGACATTTACATCTAAGTACTAGCAAGACAAAGGAGATGGTGCTAGATTTCCGGAAGCACAGAGAGGTGCCTGCTCCTGTGTATCAAGGGGAACATGTGGAGAGGGTTTCCTCTTTTAAATGAATGCTCATTAGTCAAGATCTCACCTGGAAAAACAACATGTCCCTGGTGGTTAGTAAGGCTCAACAGAGACTTCATTTCCTTAGAGTCCTGCGGAAAAATCAGGTGGAACAACGGCTGATGACTTCTCTCTATCGGTCTATGATAGAAAGCGTCCTCACATACTGTATAACAGTATGGTATGCTGGTCTAACAGCTGCGGACAGGAAGGCATTACATAGAGTGATCAATTCGGCACAAGAAACCATCGGTTGCCTTCTAACACCACTAGATGACATCGCCAGGTCTCGCCGTTTCAGCAAAATAAGGAAAATACTTAGGGTTGATCCACACCCTGGCCAGTGTCTCTTTTTGCTTCTACCATCAGGCAGAAGACAGCGAAGCATAGCCAGCCGGACAAACAGGTTTAAAAATAGCTTCTACCCATGGGCACAATCACAATCACTCCATGCACATATGGAAATGTATGACTAGTCTTTTTTTCCCAATTACTTGTATAGGGATTATTCTCTATACTATTTATACTGTTTTCTGTTATGGATTGTACCAGAGGCTAAACCAATTTCATTGTATATATGATGTACAATGACAATAAAGGCTATACTGTACTATCAACATCCTTCTAACAGATGTTCATGTTAAATAAAGAGAAGTGAATGTACTAACCCCAAGACACCTCACAAAGAAGAGGCATTACACTTGACCTACAGCATTTCATACCAATGGTGACTGGAACTGGCCATGGACAGACGAGACATGAGCTTTCTGCAAAACTATACTCCCATTCCTACAGTTGGTCCAGAAAAACACCATGTTTAATAGTATCAAAAGGTGTTGAGGTCCTAGTTGCGCTTGTCTCGTTCTGGTTCTGCCACAGATCATTCACAAACAAACATGATCAATACTGTCTCTGTTCTAGCTTCAACCTGAAAGTCAACTCAAACAGGTTTAAATAATCTATTTATCTGTTTATTTATTTATTTATCAACCTTCTTCAGAATCTTTGTAGGTGTAATCAAATCACCTTCTCATTACCAAATCGTCAAAAAGAGAAGGTTGAAGATAGGATGGAAGTTGCTTAATACATTTTTCTATCTATAAGAAAAGACTATCAGGAATATACAATGGGATTAAGTACTGGATTACATATCAAATCATCATATACAGATCAGAGGAAACTCATTTGAAGATCTTGCCAAAAAGATCTTGCCAAAAAGCTTCATATTTAAGGAACATTTATTAGATCTAAGCCAAATTTTTGGATTTTGCTCTCATGAAATAATGTTTATTCAGAATTTAAAAATTAATTCTGGGTAGCATGACTGGAGCTATTTTCAATCCAGCCTTTCTGTAATATATTAATATCAAAAATAATTAGCTGAAAATAACCACCTATCAAAACAGCCTGAGATAATCCTATTAATTTAAGAGTTTAGAGAAAGTAGTTCTTAACTGATCCTTAACAATCTGTAAAGGAAACACTCCAGATTTGATGACATAAAGCCTTTGTGGTGTAGCAGGACATAGTATTTCACTGAGTCATTGTAACTCAGCCCTTCCCCACCTCCACAGTTAGTAGCTGTTTTTAATTTCTATAAGGTTCCTCTTTTGCAGTGTGTCTCAACTGTATTCCCTCTGCATGTGCTAAGGATACGACTTCCAGAATTTTTACCTATCATGTGAGGACCATGTGTATTTTGACAGACAAAATAAATGAACTATAATCCCGAGTAAATTGTTGCAACATCACCCAATCAACAATAATTTGAGATTCTTTGTTGAATCATTTGTTTCTCATCTGCATTATTTTTTTTTATTTAAAAAAATCTGCTTAAATCTAAAATGGTCTGGCATGTCAGTTTGAAACAAATCTGCAAAAGAACTCCCTTCAATCCTAAAAGCTTTTATTAGTAGTACAACATGTGGTTAACAGGACTGAAATGAAATTATTCACTAAAGTATAACCAGTGTGTTATTTAGTAACTGGAATATATTAGTAAAACAAGATTGAATAATCTAATTAAAGTATTCTGTTTAATGTTGTTGGTGATTCAGATGAACTCTTGGAAGAGAAAAAACAGAAATGGCAAACTCATTTGTAGTAATCTAAGCACTGTTATGAAGAAGCCTCTCATCTTCGTTAAGACACAAACTATCTTACTTAAAATAATTATCTATGTTTTTACCTGTGGTACATTTTACTGAGAGATGAGTCATTTGTTAATTTGAAAGTAAATGTGCACTAGGAGTCTGTCCCCTTGTTTCTCATAACTTAATGGAAACATTTTTATTTTAAACATCTCTGTTGGTAAATAAAGATTGGCAGATGTTTACATTGAAACATATGTAGGAAAAAAAAACAGTGTCCTTCAGGCTTCTATTTGTACAACTAAGAACTAAGTTATCCTAAGAATGATTTTATATTATAAGAATGTGCAATCTATGTCAAAAGTGATACCATATTTTGCAAATAATATATCACAGTTAAGCTATTATTTCATAATTTTGCTTCATAAAATTTGGTCAGCAGTTTGTTGCATTTGTGGTATAAATTTGTATTTTTTTTTCCTGGATGTGTATGGATATATATTTTATTGTTTCCTATCCTTGGACATAATCACCCAGAATTGACTGAGAGCCTGATGGTCTCCAAATCGAATAAACAAACAAATAATCCATCCAAAAAGCTCTGCAAAGAAATATGTCTGGACAAGTACTGGCTCCCTGTACCTTTTCAGATGGTAAATAATGGATAAAAAGGTACATTTTTTTCTGTAATGCACCACATTATGTCTATAATCTTAAAATGAAATGGTGTACTTATCATAAAGAGTAATTCACTTATAGATATTTCTTTAAGATGGTTTGTAGAATAAACCAAAATTGGTGGGATTTATATACTGTACTAAGGTATAAGCGATGGTTTTATAAAGTTGGATTCACAGAACATTACAAGCCAAAGCCAGGCCAACCATATTATGTTCAAGTACAATATATAAAACCTACCATAAAATTACTTATGTTTAAAATTCAAAATATCATTTTTTTGTAGTAACTCTTGCGAGTTCATTTATTTGTTAGATCTGCCCCTCTCCTTTTCACTAGGTGTTCAGAGTGCCATAGTACCTCCTCCATTTCCACACCACCACTACTGTCTGGAGTAAGTTGAGTTGATAGAATGTGAGTGGCTCAAACTCAGTCTGTCAATTTCTATGGCTAGGGATCAGTGATGAAATTCAATTTTTTTTACTACTGGTTCTGTGGGAGTGGCTTGGTGGGCATGGCAGTGGAAGGATACTGCAAAATCTCCATTCCCACCCCACTCCATGGGAAGGATACTGCAAAATCCCCATTCCTTCCCCACTTCTGGGGGAAGGATATTGCAATATCTCTATTCCCACCCCACTCTGGGGCCAGCCAGAGGTGGTATTTGTCGGTTCTCCGAACTACTCAAAATTTCCGGTACTGGTTCTCCAGAACCTGCTGAATTTCACTCCTGCTAAGGATGGATATCAGTCTCCCTGGTCCTAATCGAAACTTAGTCCCACACTAGAGAAACTGGTTCTCTGTTTCTACTCCAGTGAATGGAGATCAATGATAAAAGTTGTCTCTGCATTTTTTTGGTATTGTTATTTGCTTTTTTTCTTGTTTATCTCTTGGTAATAGACATGATTTTTTTTATTTGTTCGAATTTCCTTTTAATATTTTGGAGCTTTTTGAAACTTCTATAATGATGAGGCACAGATAACATGTGAGAAGCAAGAACCTTTTAGACAAAATTATCTGCTTGTAGTTGACATGCTTGCTGATTTTCTTCCCAAATAGCTGCTTATAATTACAATAATCTCTAGATGTAATGAAGAGGTGAAATATTCTTCAGACTTTGTATGGAGAAAAGTACCTTTATTTAATGTAATTCTTTTATTGTTCATCTCTTTATAAATAGTGGTGCCTTTCCTACCAATACTATGTCTGGAAAATACACCACAAATTATAAACCTGTCCTCCCATTTTTTACTTGGAAACAGCATATTCACTCCTGCCCTAAAACTCTACACAAGCTATATTTAAGCCAATGTCCCAATCCTTATTCTTGGGTTTCTAACTACTTTCCATCTGTTTCTAACAAGTTAATAATTAGGAATTATTCCATTATATGATGAATGATGAAAGCAATGTTCCTGCTTTAGTTGCTGCTACTTGGAATTTAGAGTGAACTAGGCCCTCCTATTTAAATATTCAAACACGAAGATATACAATACTTTAGTGGTACCTACTCAACTACCTCAAAATAGGCAACTTTTGCATTTTCCAAAACTTGAAAGTTATATATTGAGTTTTGGATATGCCCTGTTTTGGACTTGCTGTAGATATTTTTTTCTCCAATAGACTAAATTGTATTATTACAATTTCGGGGTGGAGGGAAGCAGTAGGTTGAAAGGTCAAAGTAATAGATATGTATATGGAATGTATAAGATAATATACACGTATGTATTAATGTATAATAGTTATGTGTCAATGGTGGGATTCAAATTTTTTTACTACCGCTTCTGTGGGCGTGGTGTGGCTTGGTGGGCATGGCAGGGGAAGATTACTGTAAAATCTCCATTCCCACCCCACTCCAGGGGAAGTTTATTGCAAAATCCCCATTTCCTCCTGATCAGCTGGGACTTGGGAGGCAGATAATAGTTGGGGGCAGGGCCAGCCAGAGGTGGTATTTACCAGTTGTCCAGAATTGGTCAGAACCTGCTGAATATGTATATGAATCTGGTATGTGTGATAATTATATAAGAGAAATTCAATGACAGAAAGAAGAACTGGGAGTTATGGAAAGTGAGTGGCAGCTAATGGAGCATAAAACCTGTGACATAGCTTGTCCCATAGACTCTCAAAAGTTTATTTGGCATCTATAACCTCAACATCCTCCCATTGAAGTAAGACGCTTACTTGGACTCTTACTAACCTAATTGGCTGCTCTGTGTGGGCTCTTTTACTTCATGACTAAATCCAGACTTCAATTAAACGAACTGTGTGGGACTATCCTTGCATTATTTTATTTAAAAAAATAAGTAATAGGATTGTGATTTCCCCTAAACCATGACCTGTTTGCTTTAAGCCAAGAGCCTTATGGGTTATATTGGGATCTTGCCAAGTATATACTCTGTTTCCCCCAAAATAAGACATCACCTGACAATAAGCCCAATCGGACTTTTGAGCGTGTGGCAATAAGGCCAAGCACTTATTTCAGGGTTAAAAAAAATATAAGACAGGGTCTTATTTTCAGGAAAACACGGTAGTCTACTTAGTGGAATGCTCAGGCTGCTTAAGTAGTCCTAATACAGTGAAATAATTAAATTTAATTAAATTTTAAATTATATTGGGTTATAATAATGCAATATATGTTTATCACTTTATTTGCACAATACACTTCAGTAGGAGAGGATGGGCAATTACCGAATGCTATTTCTACAAATCCATGTACACCTCTGATTGCATTCTTGGAATCATATATTGCTTGTGACTTAGCAGAAAACAAAGAGAAACTATGATAGGTACTACTCATCATTTAACTAATACACTGATTTTTGGGCTGGCTAGAATTGCTGTTATTTTCTTTCTCCTTTTCATTCAAAGCAATCTTTTGTAATGCTTGAACTCTAGCCTTAAAAATGTACCGGCATGTTAATTTTGAGACATCTGAAGCCTGTCAAGAATCCAGATGTATTTATGTCCATGGAGCTAATTTGGAACTGCTGCTCCACCCTTTTCCTATTATAAAGAAATTTACTTTTGAAAGTCACATTTCCAGAGGCTCATTCTCTGTGGGTTCCACCCTAATATTTCTCTCTTCACTGCAACATCTCAAGAGAGCCCCCTGCTGTGGTATATTCACTGCAACCAGTGTTTCTGAACCTTGGCCGCCTGAAGATATGTGAACTCCAACTGCCACAATTTCCCATCCTGCTTGGGGAATTTTGGGAGTTGAAGTCCACACATCTTCAAATTGCCAAAGTTGAGAAACTCTTCTCAGAGTCTTGTTTGTCCAAGTTTCTTAGTAGTCTTGTGCAAATCCTTTCTATATAGAATCTCTATCTGCTGAATATACAGGTTGTGAAGGAGCAAACTTGGACAATGCAACGCATTTCATCCTCCTTATCAATATCATAACATTTCAAAGGAGTATTATGAACACGCACACACATGCACAGACAAACACACACATACACACACAAAACTTCCAGCATAAATCTTTATTTCTAAGAATGATTTCAGGCCCTTTTTAGTCCTAAGACACTCTTGGAATATTAATAATGATAAATGAGTGCTGGCCAGTAATTTGTTTGGATGTGTGCCTAGAAGATAACACAGATAAATTGACGGAATAGCACCGTGGGAGGATAGAGTAATAGGGAGCAATTTCTCACCTGTTTACTTTCAATTAAATGATTTGAATGTTTTTGTCCTTCTTGGCAGCTATTTTCTGCTAGCCTTACTAAATATACCAGACAAGAAACATGACCAGATGAGCTACCTCCATTTTACTGTAAAGCTACATTAGCATAATCTTACAAGTCTAAAAATACTTCTCTCCACCACCACCACCACCACCATGCTTCCCCCTCTGTCCTTTTATCGCCCCCAAATTAAAGAGGGTCCCTCCTGAGCCTCTTACTGTGTCTGCATTCCTGGTACAGGCCCAGCTGCCTTTTATCTGACCAGTCCCTTGGTCGTGTTCCTTAACCCCAATTTCACAAGATCATTCCCACGAACCATTGCATTTTTAGAAAATAATTTAACATGCTATCAAATTTCTAAATCTATTTACTCAGCCAGAAAATATAGGAAAACCTTTGTAAAGATCACTACATTCCTGTAAAACAAAAAGAATGTCTTTGTTTTTAACTTTAGGCAGTCATTTAATTAGATCTTATCTAACCTCCTATAGTGAATAAAAATTACTTGCAGGCAATCAAGTATAACATTGCAACTAAAGAAGAGTTCTTCCTCTGGCTTAATATTTTGATAACTATCCAAGCATTTTTTCTTAAATAAAATATATATTCCAACTCTGTGATAAAATGAAAAATGTGGATATGCACTAGTTGCCCAGGCTAAGTTTCAATTTTGTGCCTTATTTAAACAACTAAAGTTAAAATATGGCTTAGTGCAATGGTAAACTCAGCAATTGCTTGAAATATATCCCTGATTTGGATTATGCCAAAACAAAAATCAGCTCATAAGTATACCTATTTTGATATGAGTGAATAATTTTATGTTAAAGTCTTGTAGTCTATCTGATTCGTGATAATAAACCATATTCATTTATGTTCCTGCATAGAAATGTAATATCTTAATTTGCAACAGCTCTATAGACAAATCCCAGGAATTAATAGAAATTCTAGTCCAAAGACAAAGAAATAGCTCCTCCTTCTGTTCAAAGAGAGAAATAATCTTGGAAGATCGAAGCTGTACTCAAAATTCTATAATTTTTTCCATTTATTATTCATGCATTCTGATTTATTTAGCTAATGAATCTTATGCTGAACGCTAGTGATCTCACTTCATGTAATAAAGAAATATAAAGAAATACCGATTGTGTTTGCTTTTAACACTGATACATTCCATGACTGCTATGAAAAAATCTTATTTTCTGCTGCTTTTTGTTTTCTCTCTTTGGGCCTTTCTGTATTACTGCACAGAAGAACTATTCATCCATTTTCTGTTAGCATAAAATTATATATCAGCATGAAATGAGTTATACTACCTCTACTGAATTTATTCCCCTCAAGTATCATGACTTTTGTCCAAATTAATGGACGACAAAGCTTAACAGATTTTATCCCCTTTAGACTCTTTTTGGATGCTCTCTAAATAAAAAATAAACCTATTTTAATATCAAAACAGCCAAAGATAACTTAAGGCTGTCTTACTCATGGACCAGGGATGAGATGCCATATCAGCAACATCATGGGAATGATGAAAAACAATATTGACAGAATATATTTGACTAGATGCAAAGGAAAAAAGAATTGACTATAATTGTCAGTCATCTACCAAAACTGTAAGAAAATGCTACATAACGGTAGGTACAGTTGCCAAGAATAATCTAGTCATACTGATTGTTTAAAATTAATAAACTCTGAGCAAAAATAGCGTAACATAAGAGCTTAAGAAAATAAACAGTAGCCTGCTGGATCGAACCCTTGGCCCATCTTGTCCAGCGGTCAGTTGTCAAATAGCCAACACACTACACAAGGAACCCACTAATCTTGCAACAGATGGCCTTCAGTGTCAGTCACACTGCAGTCAATGATAATAGTAGTACTACCATTTTTTCCTTCCTCCACATATTCAAAATAATGGCAATGTTCATGAATAATGTGATTTGGTTGCTTTTCGCTTGGCATCCAACCAATTTAAGAATTGTTACACAAACTCTAAGTTTACTATGCTGTATAAACCAAAGTACTGTGTAAAAAGTATGCTTTTCATGAAAGCAATGTTCTCCATGCTAAACATTACCAATAAGCATCAAGTTACATGTGGTGTATGAGACAGAAAGTAATGATAAAAGTAAGGTATCATTTAATGCAGCAATATCAAGCATTGCTAAATGGTCATTTGGTAATGGCAAATTGTAGTGGCTACTTGAAAAATGTGTGTTAAAACTTCAGCTCTCCAGACTCTGACGAGGATGGGAAAGATGTAGAATGTGTGTGGGTTTTAGCTGTACCTATAAACAAATTGATCAGCCTCACCTTTGAGTTTTTTGAATTAGAAGCTGCAGCATCTTTTCAAAATTGCCATAGGATTATGTCAAGGTAAGAAGATCCATGTACCAGATAACAAAATAATTGTGACTATTCCATTTTTCTTTTCATTCAACAGCATTTCTTAGGCAGACAGAGAATGTGTGTTTCAAATAATTTTTTTTTAAAAATGCCCTAAAGTGACAAAAAGATTAAAACTGAATTCAAAAACAGCAAGCCAATAAGCAATTGCTAAGTGAGTGCAAATGACTTTTTATGAAATCATAATAAAATCGATTCCACTCAGGTATACTTATAACTGGTTTATCATGTTAAGATATGAATACGCTATTATGCTTGTGTATCCAGTTCTCATACAATCTCTTTTGAGTTGTGACGGTTAATACATCTTAGTTTTCATTTTATCTCAATCAGAAAATAAACCAGAATCCTTAGTTATCCATATTTTTTTAATTTATTAACCTCCACTTCAAGGCAGCAAACAAAATACAGAAGTTATTTTCAAATCCTGGTACAAGAAACAGGTGATAGTTTTCTGATTTAGATAAAACAGGACATTTCATCTATCCCTGTTACATCAAAAAGAGATCCACTTATTCATTGAGCCAACTTTATTCAAATAATGCCATAGAAGCCTAATTTTATGTATTTCTGTCATCTTTAGTCATATGATGGTAGTAATGAAGATGCCAATTTTGTTGGAATGTTCTGTGGCCCCAATCTCCCACCTTATTTCCTTTTTACTAACAACTTCTTGACTGTTAAGTTTGTTACTGATACATTGTTAGAAAGAGAAGGTTTCACTACTACTACACTACTGTAGATAGTACCATTTTAAATTTCTTCTAAAACAGCGATCCCATTGCAAACTGGTAGTAAAGGTAAGTAGAACCCACCCCTGGTGTTATCAGTCACATTCCCCAATGAAGCAATTTCGTGGGTTATAGAAGTCACTCCCTCCGGCCTCTGTGAGTCACCCTGGAGATGACCTTGATGTTGCCACTGTAATGTGCTTTATTTTGACTAAAAAGCAAGTTCCTCGATGCAGCTGTGAGGCTTGGTTTTCCCATCCCCCTGCCTGTGGCAACTCAAGAGCAGGTCAGGAATGCTTCATGAGTTGACAGCAGGCTTTCAAACTGATCGGTAGACAGGACCTGGAGCAAATAACAGAAGCTCACCTGTTGTGCAGAGCTTAGGTCTCGAAATCAGGCTCTCAGTTCTCCAGCTGACAACCTCAGTGTCTTTACCCACTGAGCCATAGTGCCCCTGAAATATATTTTTACCTTTATATTAAAGGTTAAAAATGTAAAAATACACTCAAATTAAACTTGTGCCTCAGTGATTTCATAGAGTGTAGCTCTGCAGTATCTCAATGATAATACAGAAATGGTTTGCCATTACCTTCTATCAGTTACTTTTCCACTTACCAATTTAGTTCTCAGCCCTTATCTTGTCCATGGTTTCCCTCCAAGATGCTCAAGGCCCAATGCTATGTAGCTTCCATATGTAGGCAAAGGCTGCCATCTACTGAGACAAAGGTAATTCAAGAGATGGTAATTCCAATCTGAATTACAGTGATCCATGCCTTGCCTGCTATAACCTCCTCTTTGTTTAAAATCCTTCATTGGCAGACCAGGGCCAAATTAAATCTGAATGAATGTGTATAACATTTGTTAATAAATGGGTAAATATGAGCAGCCTTGAAAACAAGAAATGTAACTTTTCTTTCCTTGCCAAAATGTTAATGACCTCTCTGCTTTAAAGTGGCCAAAAATTGCCATTTGCGTTTTAATGAAAACCTCCATTAGCACCAATGAGAAATTTACTTGAAATGTAAGGTATATACAGAATTTGTCAATCCAGGAAAGACCAGAAATTTCCAGAATTTTTTCTTCTCTCGTCCTTGGTTTTATACACTGTTCTAGTCACTGATGATACTGACATTGATAAGATTAACAAATTACAAACATTCTGTTTTCTTCTGGACTATGCTGAACCTTGTCTTGATTCTGGCATTCTACAGACAGTTCAGTGGTTTCCAGAAGTCCAAGTTGCAAATAATTGAAGGTGTCCTGGGGATGGTTTTGTTCCAAAACAGGCCAGTTTTGTTAAAATATCACAGTTAGAAGAAAACACATAAAAGACTATTGGATTTTAGAAACCATCAAACAATCCTCTGAAAGAAGGATGGTCTGAAGGAGAAGCAACGTGAAAAATAGAATCTTTTGAAGTTCTCAGAGAATAGTCCTCCATTATTGGATCAATGAATTTTTCACATCTCTACAAACTGGCTGCTTTAAGAAGTCATATTTGTCAGGGCCATAGTAAAAAGGTAGAAAAATTAAACAGCCCTTCCTAAGACTATTCATTTGTGTTCAAATGCTTTCTCTTTACCTCTAGTTTGGCAGTAGTAATGTGGGAAATAGATGCAAAAGTTTGGTGGCATTCTTTTTAAACTATAAAAAATATACAAAGAATTCTGCCCAGACAATAAGAAATGCTTATCACTCTGGGAGGAATAATGACATGAATAAAGGTTTCCTCACAGAGATTTAGGTATTAGTAGAGGTAGATAAAAAAAATGGGATTCATCGCTGTTAATTTTCAACCTAGTGCTAGAAAAACTAGCCATGGACTTAATGGGTTTTTTAGTATATCCAATTTTATGTTAGTGACTTTTATATATATATAGTTTAATGGGAGACTGGCAAAGACTCATAAAATCTCGAGAGGAAAAAGATTGGATGATTCCATCGCCTCCCCAAAACCCCCCCACTAAAATAGGATAATGATAGAGAAAATTCTAGCAAGTTCAAACTTTGGCTTTTGGGCCTCAGAGATTTTGTGAAAGCATTCGTGTCATGTTTGTGAAGAATAAAAATAAATATTACTGTAGCAGTAATATAGGGCAATGTGAATTGGATTCTATTGAATTCTTTTATGAAGTTTCATCATTTTACATTTGTACCTGTGTCACGTGTCAGGGCATTCAAGAGCATGCTGATTGTATCCACCAGTTCTGTGCTTCTGACAACTTTACAATCCTAGATTTTTATTCTTACAGGCAAAGTGCCATTGTAATTTTTAGATCAGATGTTTATATGATTAATAGGTAAAGGTAATATGTGCTAGTCGTTCCCGACTCTAGGAGAAAGGGCTCATCTCCATTTCAAAGCCGAAGAGTGAGCACTGTCCGAAGACGTATCCGTGGTCATCTGGCCGGCATGACTAAATGCCAAAGGTGCACAGAACGCTGTTACCTTCCCACCAAAGGTGGTCCCTATTTTTCTACTTGCATTTTTTACGTGCTTTCAAATTGCTAGGTTGGCAGAAGCTGGGACAAGTAATGGGAGCTCACCCCGTTACACGGCACTAGGGATTCAAACCGCTGAACTGCCGACCTTTCGATCAACAAGCTCAGCGTCTTGTCACTGAGCCACCATGTCCCTTATATGATTAATAATCGATTCCAGTTCAAGCTTCATTAAAAAATAACACTGTTTCTTACAGGCATTAGGTTTCATTAGCACAGACTATAGGAGAAAGCATTATTTGTCTGACATAAAATATGAAAATCTAAAAAAAAAAGAAAAAAGGAGGAAGGAAAACAGAGAAAAGCTACAAAAAAACCTGACCTTATTCCCTTGATCTCAAGAATCTCAAGAAGTTTTGAATTAAGAATAAACTACACCCATGCAACAAGGTCATTTAATTTCAAGACCCTGGTTGCAATGATAAAATCATATATACATTCTTTTCATAAAGTTGCTATAAGCTGGCCTTGGTTAATGCCATCACTCTTTTCATTCAACAGCCATAAGTATGTTAACATGGTGACACAAAAATGAATAGAGTTTAAAGATGCGGATGTACTTTTCAATTATATACCAAAAACATGAAAACTATTATGATATGAAGAATTATGAGTTAACTGAAAAAGGGAAGTCAGAAAACAGATTGTTTTGTATTTTATATTATTGGATGGTTGTCTTGTAAATCTTAGATTTAAGACAGATTGGCATTTATCTGTCACATAACACATCAGTGAGTTCTCACCAACGCATCGAGGCTGCATTCACCCTTGTTCGCACCTTGCCACTGATATTGTCATGCCTTGGAGGTGGGATCCCAGATACCAAAAAATGACTATCTTCTTCAGGTTTTCTCCATTAGGAGCCCTCCTGATAGTTAAAAAAAAATTTCAGAACAGTCTTGCTCATCAGTTCATGCCTGAAGAGACTTTGTTGTTGCCGTGATAAATACTTCTAATAAAACTACTGTATAAATCTTAAAATAGGATGAAGGTTTAATTAGGTAGTGAGGTTTGTTCAGTCAGTCAAAACTTGGTAAATCAAAAAAAGATGAATCAATTGAGAAATTCTTACTAATTCAGCCTTTACAATCACATTGTTGCTAACAGAATCTTCATATATTCTTTTAAATATAGAAATTGTAGTGATATCTTCCACTGCTTGGCAAACATTATAAAAACACTTTACCCAATTGTACATTTACTAAAAACCATGTTATATATCTGTGTTTCAAAAACAATCACCTACTTTCCTATGAAGGATATGAAATTACTTGGACTTCATCTCCAAATGGTACCAAAAATATTTTAAGTTCTGTCAATCAAACAATTAATAAATTAATACATCAACCAACATGGCTGCCACTTAATCTTGTACAACTAAACTAAACACAAATCAGAAACAAATGGCAATGATTGTATAAGGCTTAAATTAAAATACAATCTGCAAAGTATTAAAATGACATCCACAGGGAAGATGTATAATTTTTCAAATCTAGACTGGGGCTCTCATGAAAGAGAACAAGTAAATGTTTAGCAGTAACTTACTTTTTCTGTTCCTAACTTGTGGTGGTTTCTTATATGGACAGTCTGCTTCAGTCGCCAATTCAGAATACCTAGTTTCTTACCAGAATAAAACTGACTGTGAATGGACAATTAAAGCTCAGCAAAGAAGAATTGTTACTGTTAATTTTGCTTACATCAGCATTGAAGATCCAGGCGATTGTACTAGTAATTACTTGAAACTCTATAATAGACCAGACAGTAGTTATCCATCCATTGGACCATACTGTGGATTGGTAGGATTTTTCTTTTTCTGAATTTTTAGAGAAAGCCAGTTTGGTATAGTGGTTAAGATATCAGACTAAAGATTTGGATTCAAACTGATGCTTAGTTTGGACAAGAAAAATAAATAAACTAGAGGATGCATTTATCTTTTACTGCCTTCTCTCTCTTATTTAACTAAAGTGGTTCCCTCCCTTATCAGGTAAAACCAAACATATCCAGCATGATTGCAATATTTGAAAAAACACTTCTGTAAATCACAGGTTTTGTAGTGCCATCTAGTGGAAACTTTGCTAAAATTATTTTAGAATGAGTTTTCATTGTGCTTGGTTTTGTTCATGGCCATTGAAGTTTTAAAACTATAGTTTATGACTTGGTGTGATCAGTGATCCACCTAATTGTGGTTTATTCAATAATCCCCAGTCCTGAAGGTATACTTTAAATAGTGCAGAATTTTATTTTAATATTTTATTTCCTATTAGCAGCAGCATTTGTAAAAACTTGCATCAGAATGACAAAAAAAAGTTTTGTGATATGCTGAAAACTATTTGGTATCTCTGTGCAACATTGCAAAAGGAGTGTTATTTCACCATGACCATAATTCTGTGTCCCACCAATATCTGGATGTTGCTGCACATTAACTATGAGACATGACTTAACAAGGTGTAGCTTAATGCTTTTTAAAACAGTACTTTTTAAAATATGCTTACCTTAAATCAATGTGTGGATTTAAAGATCATGGTAAAGCATAAATGTTAGTTTATAACATGGTGACTAAGCACAACTGTGACAGTAACTATTGCTAAGTTATACATCAACAATCAGATGAATTCACACGAGCCACATCCAAATCCACAAAATATCAGTTTGTGATGAATGAACCTATATCCTAGACCAGGCGTTACCAAGCCATGACCCTGGACAGCTAGTAATACAGTCCCACAAAATTGTAAACTTTTAACTCTGTTCCAACAATTCAAGAGGCGACTCTACACATGGACATCACCAGACGGTCAACACAGAAATCAGATTGACTATGTGCTCTGCAGCCAAAGATGGAGAAGCTTTATACCAGTGATGGCTAACCTTTTTGCCATTGCGTGCCAAAAATGGGGGGAGTGCGGGGGGGTTGCTCGCTTGCATGCCCACACCCATAATTTTATGCGTTCCTCCCTCTACACATGCATGTGTGATCCTCCCCCCCGCAGGCTCCCTCCACTTTTGGCATGCGATAGCAAGAAAGGTCCATTTTTCGCTGTCCCCAGGCTCTACAGCCTTTCTAGGAGGTTGGAGAGGGCAAAAATGGCCTTCCCCACTCCCCTGGGCGCCCTCTGGAGGCCGGAAACAGCCTTTTTCCTGACTTCCGATGGGCCCAAAAGGCCCGAAAATCAGCTGGCCGGCGCACGCATGCGCGCTGGAGCTGAGCTCGCGTGCCCACCGATATGGCTCCATGTGCCACCTGTGACACGCGTGCCATAGGTTCACAATCATGGCTGTATACAGTCAGTAAAAAAAAGACCAGGAGCTGACTCTGGCTCAGATCATGAGCTTCTCGTTGCAAAATTTAGGCTTAAATTGAAGAAAGTAGGGAAAAGCACTAGGTCACTCAGGTATGAACTAAATCATATCCCTGATGAATATACAGTAGAAGTGATGAATATATTTGCGAGCTGCACTGGCTCCCGGTGGTCTTCCGGGTGCGCTTCAAGGTTTTGGTTACCACCTTTAAAGCGCTCCATGGCTTAGGACCCGGGTACTTGCGGGACCACCTACTACCACCAATAGCCTCCCACCGGCCGGTACGCTCCCATAGAGAGGGGCTCCTCCGGGTGCCGTCAGCCAAACAATGCCGACTGGCGGCCCCCAGGGGGAGAGCCTTCTCTGTGGGGGCACCTACTATCTGGAACGAGCTCCCCCCAGAGATACGGAGGATCCCGGATCTGCGCACCTTCCGCCACGGCTTAAAGACCTTACTATTTCACCAGGCCGGCCTGGCCTAATTTTCCCCCTCTTTTATAAAAGATTTTTAAAATTTTAAACATCTTTTAGTATTTATATATTCAATTTTAAATTGGTTTTAAAGTTTGGGGTTTTAAATTTGTCGGGGCCAAAATTATTTAATTTGATTTTATTCTATTTTTTAAATTTTGTATTGTATGTGTTTTTATTGTTTGGCTGTGCACCGCTCTGAGTCCTTCGGGAGTAGGGCGGTATAGAAATCTAATAAATGAAATGAAATGAAATGAAATGATAGACAGAGTGCCTGAAGAACTATAAACAGAGGTTCAAAACATTCTACAAGAGGTAGAAACTAAAACTATCCCAAAGAAAAAGAAATGCAAGACAGCAAAATGGTTGTCAAAGGAAGCTTTGCAAATAGCTGAGGAAAGAAGGGAAGCGAAAGGCAAGGGAGAAAGAGAAAGATACACCCAATTGAATGCAGAATTCCAGAGAATAGCTAGAAGAGGTAAGAATGCCTTCTTAATTAAACAGTGTAAAGAAATAGAAGAAAACAATAGAATAGGGAGGACCAGAGATCTCTTCAAGAAAATTGGAGATAGGAATTTCCGGTTGGACTTCTGGCTATATCAGAAGCCTGGTCAGCGAGCTGCATGGCCAGTGCTGAACTTTCCCTGTCAGAGGGTCCGAATTGGGACCATAGCCACCCCAGAGGTGTGGTGAAACAAAGGGATAAAGGGGAACCACATCTCCCCTCCCTGACCTGGAAAGGCCCCTCAGCCGACGGCAAGGAATAGCGGCAGCAAACATGGCTGCAACGAAGCCGAAGATAACCTGAATATATAAGACTGAGCAGGAGACGACAAAGTGAATGGCTTGTGAATCAGGTAAGATTTTTTTTTTTTAAAGTATCCCCAGAAATACAAGGGGGAAGCATACTGGGACTATTTGCCAGTGGCCGAATAAGCACATTTATAGGAGGAAAAAAGCCATAATATTTAAGAAGAAAAACTTTTTAAAAGAAATGAAGTTAAAAAATTGAACTCTTAAAGTGAAGATGTGATACTGAAAAGGTATTTTTTTAAAAAAAATACTAGAATTTGATCTGGAATTTGTCTTTACTTTATTACTATCAAATTTTATTACGCCCACCTATTGGATTTACAATTTAAAATAATTAAAATTAGTTTACCAGCATTACGCAGAGAGGCAAGACCAAGCTGAATTAGGAGCGCCATCTGCTGTTAAGAGGAGAACTGTGCACCTATGAGATTTTTATATTTATTGGGTTATAAAGAGTTACTTGAAATTTACTTTAAACTTCAAAATTTCAAAACTGTTGAACAAATAAAAGTGATTGGAAGGGACGTGGATGACCCCCTGGATGTTTTTTTTTCTAAAACTGGACTGACTGTAAAATGGAAATAAGTGGAGATAATGATATGGAGCTGATATACCAAGATATTAAAGATTTTATTTTTTTCTCCTACCATGTTTTCCCGAAAATAAGACCCTATCTTATATTTTTTTAACCTTAAAATAAATGCTTGGCCTTATTTTCGGAGATGTCTAATTATTTTGGTGTGCGTGGAGCAAGATGGGACTCCTCTTGCCGTCTTACCTGATTTCCAGCTCTGTCTCCCCAACCCTAACCAGAGGAAATGGCAGGGACTGGCCGCACATGCATTTAAATATTTTTGGGGAGGGCTTATTTTTGGGGAGGGCTTATTTTCGATGACAGCTTATTTTAGTGCATGTGCTCAAAAGCCCGATTGGGCTTATTATCAGAGAATGTCTTATTTTAGGAGAAACAGGGTATCTCCTATGTCATCTCAATACTGAATGGAACTGAAAGAAGTTTCTGTAGCACATATTGACCCATGCCTGAAATTTAGAAGAATCAGCAAAACTTTCTGCCATGGAATCCACATTAAATTAATTATTGAAATAGCTTTGGATTAGAAACCATAATAATTTAATTGCAACATTCCAGTAGAAAAATATGATCAAAAATAACTTTTTAAACATTTTCTCATTTTTAGGCTACAAATATTGCTCCATTTACAGCAATGTCAGATCAAGTATTCATCAAATTCCATGTGGATTATGTAACTCACCCATCAGGATTTAGACTGACCTGGACTAGCTGAAATAATTATCTCATGGAAAACACTTATCACTTCCTGAAGAGACTTCCCAGAACACAAGCTTGCTGGTGTTAGTAATAAAGTAATAAAAATAGTAATAAAATTATTTGGAAGCAATGAAGTTGATAATTTGTTAAGAATTATTTCAAGGAAATGCATACATCTTGTTTTTCCTTAGAAAATGCAACTTTAAAGCAAGTTATTCTCTAGTAAAACTTTTCCATATATTCTTCAATAACGCTGGGGAGGAAATTCAAATTAGCAGTCACTTTGACATTAACTAGACTACTTTGAGCTTTCCTACATTTCTAAAGTAATTAAAATCATGATTTAAAGTCAGAAATTTCAGGCCACAAGCACAAACACAACTTTGCATTTAAATTTTAGATTAATTCAGAATCACCGCAAGAGCCTATCTAGGTGGCAATATGGGATGACCTTGAAAAACTGGAAGGTAAAAACCTAGGATGTCCATGGAGACCATTAGAAAAACTTAACAATATTATTTATTTATTTATTTATTTATTTAATTAATTAATTAATTAATTAATTAATTAATTAATTAATATACCACCTTCTCCCAGAAGGACTCAGGGTGGTGTACAGCCAAACTAAAACATACATATAAAATTTACAAAACAATTTAAGAAATATTAAATAATTTGGCCCATATCTAATTAAAATAAAACTACCCATTTTGGACATTAAAAAGTTAAAAGTTAACAATTAAAAATTTAAAAATTAGGCCAGCCCAGCTTGTTGGAATAAAAGCGTCTTGAGGGCCCGGTGGAAGGTGCGTAAGTCGGAAATCCTCCACATCTCGGGGGGCAATTCGTTCCAGAGGGCAGGAGCCCCCACAGAGAAGGCTCTCCCCCTGGGGGTCGCCAGCCGACATTGTTTGGCCAACGGCACCCAGAGGAGCCCCTCTCTGTGGGAGCGAATTGGCCGGTGGGAGGCTATTGGTAGCAGAAGGTGGTCTTGTAAATACCCAGGTCCTAAGCCATGGAGTGCTCTGAAGGTGGTAACCAATACCTTGAATCGCACCCAGAGGACCACCCGAAGCCAGAGCAGCTCGCGCAAGAGAGGTGTTACATGGGAGCGCCATGACGCTCCCATAATCACCCGCGCGGCTGCATTCTGGACCAGTTGGAGCCTCCGGGTGCTCTTCAAGGGGAGCCCCATGTAGAGAGCATTACAGTAGTCCAGGTGGGAAGTGATGAGGGCATGAGTGACCGTGTGTAGGGAGTCCCGATCCAGAAAGGGCCGCAACTGGCAGATCAGGCGAACCTGATAAAAAGCCCCCTGTCCACGGCCGTCACATGTTCTTCTAAGGACAGCCGTGCATCCAGGAGGACACCTAAGTTGCAAGCCCTCTCTGTGGGGGCCAACGACTCGCCCCCAATAGTCAGAGATGGCACCAACTGACTATATCGGGAAGCCGGGAGCCACAGCCACAGTCTTGGATGAGTTGAGCTTGAGCCTGTTTCTCCCCATCCAGATCCGCACGGCCTCCAGACACCGGGACATCACGTTAAGGCCATCATTGGGGTGGTCCGGGGTGGAGATATACAGCTGAGTGTCTTCAGCGTACTGGTGGTATCTCACCCCGAGACCACGGATGATCTCACCCAGCGGCTTCACATAAATGTTGAACAGAAGGGGCGAGAGGACCGACCCTTGTGGCACCCCATACGCAAGGCGCCTCGAGGTTGACCTCTGGCCCCGTCAACACAAACTGCGACCGGTCAGACAGAAAGGAGGAGAACCACCTCAACACGGTGCCTCCCACCCCTAACCCTCTAACTGGCGCAGCATGATACCATGGTCAATGGTATCAAAAGCCGCTGAGAGATCTAATAGGACCAGGGCAGAGGAAAAACCCCTGTCCCGAGCCCTCCAGAGATCATCAACCAATGTAACCAATGCTGTTTCCGTGCTGTACCCAGGTCTGAAACCTGACTGGAACGGATCAAGATAGACCGCTTCATCCAGGTACTGGGGGAACTGTCGCGCCACCACATTCTCAACAACCTTCGCCACAAAGCGGAGGTTGGAGACTGGACGATAATTCGCTAAAACAGCTGGGTCCAGGGAGGACTTCTTGAGGAGGGGCCTCACCACCGCCTCATTCAAGGTGGCGGGAAAGCAACCCTCACTCAAAGAAGCATTGATAATCCTCTGGAACCAGCCTCATGTAACCTCCCAGGAAGCCAGGAGGGACACAGGTCCAATAAACATGTGGCCATGCTAAGTCTATCCAGAATCCTGTCCACGTCTTCGGGAGTCACCGGGTCAAACTCCTCCCAGATAACACTCTCAAGACCTTCCTCCATCACCCTGTCTGAACCTACCCCGTCAGAGTCCAAGCCTTCCCGAATTTGAGCGATTTTGTCATGCAGATACTGTACAAAATCCTAAACCCTACCCTCCAAGGGGTCTCGCCACGCTCCCAGATGGAGCAGGGAGTGGGCCGGGTGGTTATCTGCAGACACGATAAGAGTGGAAAAGTAGTCAGACTTTGCCGCTCTTATCGCCACTCGGTAGGTCTTAATATGAGACCTCACCAGTGTTTGGTCAGATTCAAACCGGCTGTCCCTCCAACTGCTCTCTAGGTGTCTTTTCCGGCGCTTCATTTCCCTCAGCTCCTTGGAAAACCAGAGAGCCACCTGGGATTGGAACCGGATCAGAGGCTGCAAAGGCACGACGCGGTCCAAAGCTCCAGTGGCCGCCCTATCCCAGGCAGCCACCAAGTCGTCAGCCGCATCATGAGCCAGAACCTCAGGGAATGGCCCAAGCTCCGTCTGGAACCTATCTGGTTCCATCAGGCGCCTGGGGCAGAACCACCTAGTCGAGATGTAGCGGTTTGAAGGTCAAGTCGAAGGAGAGAATGATCTGACCATGACAAGGGCTCGATCACAATATTCCCTATATCAAAACCATTTAGCCACTGGCCAGAGACAAAAACCAAGTCCAGAGTGTCCCCCTATGTGAGTGGGGCCATGAACTAACTGGGTCAGGTCCATGGCCGTCATGGAAGCCATGAACTCCCGAGCCGCCTCACCGATAGATGGCAGGTTGAAATCCCTCATGACCATAAGCCTGGGGGTATCAACCGCCACCCCGGCTATCACATTGAGCAGCTCAGGCAAGGCCACCGCCACGTGGCAGGGAGCCAAGTACACGATCAGCAAGCCCATCTGCCCCCCACGGCCCCACTTCACAAGGAGGGACTCACATCTGGCTATCTGAAGCACAGTGGCCTCCCTCAGACTAAGACCTTTCTTTACAACAACCGCCACCCCACTCCCCTCCCCTGAGACCTCAGCTGATGGAATGCATGGAAACCTGGTGGGCACATTTCAACGAGGGGGACCCCCCTCCAGGCCCAACCATGTCCCCTTAATACCCCCCAGGTCTGCTTCCCCCTCCTGAACGAGATCACAAATGAGGGGGGCTTTATTTACCACGGACCTGGCGTTGCACAACATCAACCGAAGGCCCGGGCCCTGAGGATCCGCGCAACCCAGGCTAAACTGGAAAGTTGAAAGAAAATCAGAAAACAGTAAAATAACTTATTTACTGCTACTAAGGAAGTATTCGTCCCAACACATTTGGGTAACATCAGGTTATTTTCTTTTTCTAGTACTTTTTAATATTTCTAATAAGGAAGTATATTCTTGTAAGATAGTATTATGACTATTTTGTTGATAGGTTACAATTATAGGTTAGGTCTGAACTATACAACTATATATATATGTTTGAAATTGCTCAAAGTACAGATGGAGTTGAAGAAAATTCTTTTTAAAAAAATAGTTTATGTACTGCAAATCACATATTGTATAACAATGATAGCACCTTTCTTAGCCTTTGAAACAAAACAAACATTTGTTTTGTTCCAGGAGTGAAATCCTATCGGTTTGGACGAACCAGTAGTGATGATTGGCATTGGTTCGCTGAACCGGTAGCAATCATCCCTGGTGGGCCCGGCCCTGACTTGCCTACTGCCTCCTTATGCTGCACTTGGAAGGAGCTGCTGCTGCTGCTCTCACTACCTTCCCTCCCCACCTGGCTGCAGAAGTCCGTCTGCCCTCCCGGAGCACTGTGGCGGCGGTTGCTTTCTTCCTTCTCCTGCCGCAAAACGAAAGCAAACGGCAGCAGTAGTGCTTCAGGAGGGCAGGCGGATGTATTCATTGTAGTTGTCAGCTGCAGACATCTGCCTGTCCTCACGAAGCATCACCGCAGTGAACAAAACAATCCCATTGCACCGCGCCTCCTTCTGCAGCCAAGTGCACCCAGCCATCCAAGCCCTTTCCTCAAATGGGCTGTGCATGGAGTGCTTGGAGAGAGAACAATAGAGCTCTCCAGCCTCTGTTTTTTTTGTGTGTGAAGAGAGAGAGGGAGGGAGCAATCTGAAGCCGTGGCAGGGCAGGAATGATTCCTGCAGACCCCGCCGCTGCTTGAGCAGGGAGGATGATTCTGAGGAGAAAAACTGTGAGGTTTTGCACCAGGCAGCTGTCCCTGCAGTGGCGGCTTGAATGGCCCGACTAAAGTTGTGCTCGCCGGTGAATGTTGGCATGGAGGCCTCAGCTGCAGCGCTGCTCCAACCAGCTATCCTAAGACCAAGCTGGGTGGTGGCTGGGCGATGCTTTGCATGGGGCATTGAGAAGCTGTCAATCGCGTGGCTCTTTGCGAGCGGCCAGCCCAGAGAGGAAGCATATGGCTTCTGCTTTGTGCTCGGGGAAGCAAGAATGTGTGGCGGGACAGCGGCTTTCCTGCTCAGCCCTGACAAGTGATGCATGGTACCCACACCAGTGTCCCAAGAGAAGCAGAGAAGATCGCTGCTTGCAAGCAGGAAAGCAGAGATAGCAAGCATATGCTGCGCTGTGGGAAAAATGAGGCCCTGTTGTCCCACAGAGCCTGCCACTACTTGAGTGTGTGTATGTAAGGAGAACGGTGAGACTCAGGGAGTAGGTCAGAAGGTACTCCCTGAGAGTAGCTCCCTG